GGACAACGGGAGACAAATGAAAGGAGACAAAGAGAGAGAAATGAACCCGTCCACCAAGAGAGCTTGTGCCAGGCATCCAGGCTAGGAGACAACGGGAGACAAATGAAGACAAATGACCCGTCCACCAAGAGAGCCCGTGCCAGGCATCCAGGCTGGGAGACAACGGGAAACAAATGGAGACAAATGAGCCCGTCCACCAAGAGAGCCGTGCCAGGCATCCAGGCTCGGGCTTTCCAACAGGCGAGTCACGTTAAATGAATTTAGAACTAGAACCCCTCGAAATAATTGCACAATTATATATATAGTGTAATCTTATAATCAGCTTGTTTCAAGAGAAAGCGCCCAGGACCTCAAAGGCTTTGACGTGGCTGGCCTTTGTCATGGCCTTGGCCTCCTGTGGTCTCCTCGTGCTGCTCCACCGGCGCAACGACTTCATCCCTGAGCTGGAGGCCGGAGGCAACGTGAAGGCTATGATTGAATGTTTGAGTTTGGGCGTGTCTTGATGGACTTATCCTTATTATTGTTTGAAGGACAACCAAAAGGCGAACCACCAGCTTGAGGGTCCACACCCATTTAGGTGGGCTTAATGCAGATGAACTTAAGATTGAGTGAACAAGCTGAAAAGTCAAGGGGCACTACGGCTTGGCGGAAGCCCAGGGTCGAAAGACCGATGAGCGGAACGACCAATGTCCATCAGCGTGTTTTGCTTGGAGTGCTTGACCTGCGCTGTTGCTTACAAAAACCGGCAATTCACGCCTATCTTGAATCAACATCCCCTCCAAGGCAGCTTTTAGTGTTTTCTTGGGCAGCCCCCCCTTGTGTGTGAGAAATTTTGAGAAGCCAAAAGGAAACTAGCGATCATTAGGATCATTAGGGTCCCCTTCGGCTCTCGGGGACCGATGAGATGGTCCGAGTCGCTGAGGCCCAAGATCGGGCAATCACCAGTGCCGACGTTCGAGGTGCTCTGGATTGCGTTCCAACGATCATTTGCATCAACGCAGCTCGATCTATACGAACCTCACACATGGCAAACACTTGCATCGCTGAGTGTGTATTGCTGAGAGGCGCATGAGATGTTTTTCCCATTCACACATCACTGCAGTGGTCATTCGCCTGCCCAAAGGTTGGCTTCAACATTCCGTACAATGCGATGAGCAATGCTTATCCAGCCCAGGCTGGCCTTTGACTCGGCAGCGTTCCCAGGACTAGTCAGATGCCAGACTGCTGCGCAAAAGCAGCCACTAAGTAATTAACATACTTCCCTCAAGTGCGCCCAATCTTTGTTGGCCTCCGCGGAACCCTATTTGCATTTGTTTGCTCCTGGAGGCTTGCCAGATGGACACGCGCCTTTTTGGGCAGCAGTTGAATGGCAGCTTTTTCAGCCTTGGAGACGCCTTCGGCATCATTTTGCTGGTGCCAGTATTCGAGAAGTTGCTCCTGGGCCCGTGGTTTCATGGGGAGCCCGAATTGCACTTTAGCCACCTTGGAATTCGAACTGTCATGTGGACAGAATATAGCTTGGCGGCTGTCAAATGGCTTAACTGCTCGAGAGGGTCAGCTCTGCGTTTGTCCTCGACGTTTGGGCACTCCAAGGCTTTTCCCGGCGATCAGAAGATGTAGAGGTCGCTACCTCTCCCGATCAACGAAGTATGTGATCGGCTTCTCTTGCGGTATCGCTGCAAACTTCTCTGTCCCGTCCTCAGCCAACTTGCAACCACACGTTCCCTCTCCGGCTCGAGACAAGTGGTGAGGCGGCTTTGTTGGAATACATTCGCCGTTCAAAGTCAACTGGGAGCTCTCCAGATTTTGTGCCCTGCCCGGAGGACTGATTTTTTGCACGGGGCTGCTTTTTTTTTCCACAAGCAGGTATATGTTGTAAACATGTGGGGCTGCTTAGGCGTGTCCTGCACGTCCCTTTAGCGAAGCCTCCAAAAGTGGCAGTTTCAATGAACACCGCCAGTGACCTTTGGCAAAAGCATGAAGCAAAGCCATGGGAAATCCTCAAAAACACGGCAGCGTCTAGGCACAAGCGCGAAACCAGAACCCCGGCTTTACGTCCCATGCCAAAGACGCCGAAACTGTTCACCTCAGTTCATGCGGTTCAGCAGTAGCCTGCATGAGATTTCTTCAGGTCCCTATTTGGCAGTTGCAAGGAGTCTGTTGGTCGAAGATTTCTTGAGGAGCTCTTGGGCAGCTCGTCCTGCGACGGGGGAAACTTGCTGTCCAAGTGCTCCCCTGGAGCGAGTCTTCCCATGACCAACATGCGCCTCGGGCAAGCAAAGGTAGCCCTGCTTGGGGCCCCGATTGTTCCAATCCGAGGTCCGCGTTCTGGACCGCAATCCCAATGTTTCTCACTGGTGCCACTGGGATGCAAACGGAACTGAGTGCGCAGAGGTCTTGGTGCAACTAAACCTCAAACTGAATTCGCAAAGACGGATTTGCCTGTTGTGCATGGAACAGAATCGCATCTCTTGGTCTCTCGCCTTCGTCCAAAAGTCATGGGCTGCAACTTTGAGATGCTGACGAACCAGGACTGGTTGAGAGGGGATGCAGATCACTTCTGGAACAGTTGTGCATGGGACGCAACCGGGGTCAGCATGAATGATTCACCTTCACTTGCCCAACCGCATGGGTGTGTCTTCTATTTTGGAGACCTCCAAAATGGCAAGGGCTTTCTTTTGGTTCCCCCTTAAAACCAACCGACAAGAGGTACCCAAAGTTGTTGGATTAAACGTTTCAAATGAAGCTGAAGGCCGGCGAGATCTTGGTAAATCCGGTGGTTTACCAGTACGTCTTCGAGGAGGCCCCGGCGCCTCTTCGTTCCATGCTGCAGGCGCTGAACCTCGTGGCAGCAGGAGCAATTCGATTTGAATCGGAAAACCAAACGGCGCTGGGTTCTCAAACTCAGGGACCCAAAATGGCCTTTGGGTGTCCCTGTGGTTTCCCCTTTCGCCAAAAGGCTCCATGTTGAGAGCCCCTGCGCCCAACAGGGCTGTAGATTCGGACGTTAGTCTCCGACGTTTGTCGATTCGACGACAAACTGAGGGGCTCTTTTGCGTCCCGACTCCTTGACATTGGAGCAAAATCAAACCAACAGGGAAAACCTTCAAGACATTTCCGATATAAGCCGTCAATATCCTCTGTTTGGATGCTTGTCCCTATGGGCAGACATGGGGAGACAAGTATGAACCTTACAGTACGGTTCCCCAGAGGCGACCATTCAAAGATATTCAAAGTATCCTGGGCTTCCGCTCGGAGGTTGGGATTTCTTCCCGGATCGCTACAAGGTTTTCGGGGGGTGAGAACCAGGTTAGCCGTACTGGTGCTGCAGAAAAGGTGCGATTGTGCAAGCTTGAGAGTGTAGACAGCGCAAACACTGCAAACCTACATTGTCCCCCTCCTTGTTTTGAGTTGTGGACGAGTCTAAGCAAGACCAATGCTCATGAGAGCTTGGAGGTGTTTTAAGGTAGCTATAGGGAAGGATGCAGATCACTTTGGAATGGTTCAGGGTAGGTTAGTAAGGGCTGGTGAATGGCGGGTTTCAGAGGGAGTCTCAGAGTTTGTTTAGTGCAGATGTTTGGGGTGGTTTGCGGATGGTTTTGATGAGGTTGACTCTGTGTGTGTGCATATATTTATTTAGTTATTCTTTGGGTTAGTATAGGGATGGTTGAGGGTGGGTCAAGGGTTTGTTTGAGGGGTACTGTAGGGTGGGATGGCGGCTTGGTAGGCAAGCTTACTTACCTTGCCTGGCTTTACTTGCTTTGCTTGCTTTGCTTGCTCCGTGGATTGGAAGTGGCAAGAAGGAACGAGCAGAAAAGCACGGAGCAACTGTAGCAACTCAAAGCCGATGACCATTTGTGGAGAATGTTTGAGCAGAAGCCGAGCGGTGTCCAGTCAGTTTGGGGGTCCCATGTTTTCGTGGCACGAGATGAGACTCTCACAGCGCCACACTTGAGTTCAAAGTTGCACCTGTTTAGCATCCCACCCGTGATGTCCTTTTCAGGATCCATCTCCAATGCGATTACAGCAGCTTTGAGCCCTTTGGTCCCGGAGAATCTCAATGACGGGCACTTGGTGCACCTCTGCGAGTTGTTTGGCGCGAGGTGTTTTTTCGCTTGTGACCGCCAGGGTCCCCCCTATCTTTTTTTGATGCAGAGCGGGACCAGGGTCTACCAGGCAAGGGATGTGATGCAGACCGCGGCCCAAATTTCCACAAGGTATTTCTTCTACGCCAACTGCATCCTCGCGGTGCTGGCTCTGCTTGTGTTCCTGCGCTTGCCGCAAAATGATCGCGAGGCGGCCGGAGGCTTACGCAACCTGTGGCCTCGTGAATCCTTTAAGGGTGCCGTTTGTGCCTGTTGGACACTAAAGGCAATGTTTTTGTCCACCATGCCCTCTTTCTGTGATACCAAGTGATGCCATGGGGTGTGTCTTAAAACAGGGGACAACACAAATGGCAATGGGTGTCCTTTTCCATGTGAACAGCAACCAAAAGGGGAAAGGGGGAATCCTCACTGGGCTGAGGAGTCGGGGGTCCCGGGCAGCTTCTTGGCCACGGTGGACCACAGCGCCTCTGTGTCCCTAGCGCCACCAGAGCACGCTGCCTCGCTGATGAGCTGACGTCTCAAGCCGGAGAGAAAAATCGCGGATGTTCGTGCCGTGGGCTTGTGGAGAAGATGCCAAGATCAAGGATGTCTTTTGGTCTCCTTTTGCTTGCCCATGAAACTCGCAAAAAGGGAAGCCTCAAAGCACCCATACACCCTTTCGCGGCAAGGTATGCGGCAGGTTTGGCAAGCACTCAACTCAAATTGCATTGCTTGTGGGAAGTCTTCTTCGTCGTTTGCACAGCTCTCGGTTTTCAAGTCATAGAATTCAACCACCTTCCCCTAATCTGACTGTTTTGCCCCCCCCCCCCAGTTGGATTGTACGACTCTCAATTTTGACCCGTGTTTGTGACCCATTCTTTCAGTTTCCCCGGTGACAAAATCCGGGGCTTGGAGGCGGAGCCGTGGACCCTTTGGAGTCCATGCTCTTCGTGACCTCCGTGGGCCTGCCGCAAGGGAGCCCCAATCAGTCCCACATGGATTGAAAGGACGCTGGAAGGCTGTAAGGCAGGTAGGTTGAATCGTGAGGTTGAGATGGCAGATTGATGCAGATTGGACATTCTATGGGTTGAAAGGCTAGGTGAAAAGGAAAGGATGGATGGCTAGCAGGCTGGCTAATTTGTCAGCAGCTGAAGAGGTCTGAGGGTTGGCAGGCCATTGGATTAATGGACATGCCCACGCCCATCTTTTTGGAAACCCACAACTGCTCCTCCTATCAAAACTGGTTGCCTGCCTGCCATGCTCTTGGATTGAGCGTTAGATCGGTGAAAGATTGACAGAATAATAGGCGATCGGTGAACACGTTAAATGCATCGATTGACGGATTCATAGGTTGAAAGGTAAAGAGGTGAACAGGTTCATTGATGTTTCATTGCCCGGGTCAGATGATCAGGTCCTGCATTTGCGACTCCGTTCGCTCAATCCGACAGGCCGGAACGGGGGCTATGCATTTCCTGAATTGGGATGGCTTCCAAAACCCGTCGAGGCATCTAAAACTCGACTTGTTGACTTCGGCTGATCATTTGTTTGAATGCGTGAAGGGGCGTGACTGACTTGGTGTATTCGAGCAGAGCAGGGAATCCGGGAGGTGAGCCCGCTGGTTGGACATTGGATTGTTCGCAGTTCGTTGGGCATAGCGACCGGCTCAAGCCAGAACCGTGTTACCGCAAATCTATCCATAACCTTGTACAATCTTGTACAATCTTGTACAATCTTGTACAGCATGGCAGGGCACCAGGTGGATCTCGTGACTCAAGTGATCCTCTTCGTGGGGAATTGGTTTCTCTCGTGGGGGATGATTGAAATGATTGCGTATAATTCATGGTGCCTCGCACAGGGGGATGATGGTCACGCTGACATGGTGAATGCTGCACCGGTGACTGTGCTTGTGATGGGGCTTTTCATGACGAACCTGCAAGGCTTCCTGGCTTGGTTTGGCCTTTCCATGTGCATGTTTCAAAGCCACCAAAATGGCCAGGTTCCTTTCAGGTTCACTTTGCAGAACCAACCAAGCCGCTCCAAAGGCACCCTGATCGGCCTTTCTTGTTATTTCGCTTTCGAAAGGAATCCAATTTGTTGGATGCCCTGGTTTTGAGGAGCACGCGCATGATATTTTGATTTGAGGGGAGTTGTGGTGTCTGCTTGGAAGCCGCTGTGCTGTTTCTGCTTGGGCCAGGCTACTTTCAGGAGAAGTACAAGGAGCCGAAGGTGGCCCGGGCGGCCGCAATGGACATGGACCTGCCTTTGTTGCTTTGGCAACATGGCAGGGAAATATGCTCCAAGAAGCCGCCCCAGGCCTGGGGCCGGCTGAAGGTGCGACAAGCCCTGGGCAGAGGCATCCCTTTGCGCTTTGGCGGATTCAGCTCCAGATTGGTGTGTTGCCTTTGTGTTTTTCGGATGGGGTCTTGTTGTTTTCCTTCCCCGCTCAATCAAGGTCGATGATAAGCTTCTACCTTGCCAGCCGCCATGTGGTGGAGACGCCGGCTTGCCAAATATCTATCACAGCTGGCAGACCGCTCTTGGAGGAAGCAGTTGAAACGAAGCTGTCAGTTCGCTTGACTGACCAAAAGGATGTTTGCAGTGCTGTCCTGCCTCTTGGCTTCAAGATCGGCTGCAGAACAAGAGAGGACCTGCGCCAGAACGAGATATTGGAGACACTTCACAGTAACAAGATGGCGCCGCCCGATGTCAGCGTGAATGACCAGGAAAGCACACAGAATGCGCACCTGAAACTTATTGGCGAAGCGCAGCAAAAAGTGCAGACGACAGCAGAGGTGTTTTTGTTTGCCAAAAATGCGCCAGATGGCAGCCAATGACTTGTGGACAGCAGGACATTGTGCTTCGTCAAGCTGGCAACTTGAGAACGGGAATATCACAACCTGTCCTCAGGAACAATTTGTGCGGTCACGAAATCTGTTTGCACCCGAGCCCTCCGGAAGGGCCAATGCAAGCCTTCAACCAGCTCCTTGCCAGAAATGGCAAACGTTTTAAGACCTTGGCCGGTGTACTTGCGTTTGGTTCTTGAGCTCTTTCTTCGATTTGTTTTCTCGAAGGTTCGCACACCGCGCCGTAGTAAGTAATAGAGAAGATGAAGAGGAGTGGTGCGGCACAGGCAAGCGTGCTGGAGTTTCTCAAGAGGCTGACTGGAAAACAGGGCTGGCTAGTTCGCTTGATTCCCTGGCATGTAGTCACGGACCTCTTATCTGAGTACATCAATGTAAACAAAGTCGGAGCTCCAGTGGTGACATGGAGTGTTGGGGGCATGATTTCGCTCTCGGGCTGTTTTCCCTGCTTTCGTCGGTGTTGCCACTGGCAAGCTGGGTGGCAGAGCGACGTGGTCTCAAGACGTGGCAAACAGCCCCAGTATTGGTGCACCACACCATTGACATCATGCTTGTCGAGGTGGCCGCCATCTTGTTGTTGTCAAGGAGACTCTTTGACGACTTTGGCTCCATCTTCTCGGAGAATCTCGATAAGATAATCAACGATTTGGCCCAGGCATTGTCAAAAGTCGATGTGGCAAGGCAAGGCAGCATCTCGGCTGCCTTGAACAACCGTCAAGCCTGGCTTCCAGAGGTTCAAGCAAAATTGGCCCAACATATGGTGAAAGGACAGGACGACGCAGCGAATATGATGGTCGAGTTGGCAAAGCCGCTCGGGGTAGACCTTGTGACTTTTCTTCCGTTTGTCGGAGCTTCTGTGTTGTTCTACAGCGTCTCCACGCTCTTTGTCACCAAATGCAAGCTGACCGCAGAGCTGCCCTGGCTCACGCGCTGGAACGCGGCCGTTGGGGGCCCCCTGCTTTTGCTGGGCGCCGTGTCCCGCAAAGAGGTGCGAAGCCAATGCAACGGCATCATGAAGCAAATTGCCTTCCGGGGATTGCTGCTGAGCATCCTTCTGGCAGTCCTCCTGGCGCCGGTCGATGAATTTGACACGGCCACCTTTACCACATTGGTGTTTCAGCGGGAACTGACCAGAGCGCCCTTCGTGCTGTCCTGGCTCACTCTTTGGGCAATGCACATCCTGACTGGGATTGTGGCAGTGCAGGAGATCAAGTCGCATCGAACCCAAAAAGACATCGACAGGCACTACGGCACCTGCACGCCAGCAAGAGCGGAAGAAGGCCATGGAGCTGCGGCCGCCGCAACTCGACTCCCAGCTGGCCAGCCGGCAGGTGTCCAATACCATTTGCCAGGCACACCTTTCGCTGGCGTGGGCGGCCAGTCACCAGAGCCTTTGAAATCTCAGACCCTGCGTGTGTAAAGTTGCATCAAAACGCTGAAAATAGGCGGGCAGCGGTTCTCAGCGCAACTGTTCACCTTGCATGGTTCCCCCCCCCCCGTCACGTGGGGCCAGATTGGCTTGGCTTGGTCAGCTACCTTTCACTAGAAGAATCAGCAGGTCATGTTGCTCCATTCCCATTTCCGAAGTAGTGCATTGTAAAGAGCGGACGCCAAAAGAAACTGTTTTTCTGATAAAGGAACCCCGTCGAACCCCTGTTTGCAAGAGGTTGGTCAGTTCATTGAGTGACAGCCTTTGTTTTTGCATTTGTTTATTGAAGCCGAAGCACATTCACAGTCCAAGCCGTTGACTCCAAGTTTGTTGAGAGCAGCGCATTCACTCACGGGGGGAGATTTACCGCATCAGACAACGTAAACCATCTACTGACACTTAGGGCTAAATGCCGACTATATAGTGCACTGCAGGTTACTGGTGCCAAAATGTTTTGCACCCCGCCTCAGACCATGCCGGTTCCTCTTGTTGTCTAAGAAGGGAAAACTTCACAAATGAAGCTCTAAGCTTCAAAGGCACCTCACATCTAGCCTCAACGGCTAGGGGTGTAAAATAGCTTCATTTGTCCCGCGCGCGCGAAAATCAGTCCTGATGTTCTTCTTTCGACTCATTCGACTCACTCAGTCGATAGCGCATGCCGGCAAAAGTACTGTCCACAAGCGAGGTCCCCATAGTTGAATCGCCACAAGCATCTCAGGCATGCGAGTTGTTTGCTGCCAATGTTGCTTTTGAAGGTTCAATCTGAGCTTCTGCAGTGTTTCGTCAAGTTCCTGAGCCGTTGAATCCTGCACATGCTTTATGTCATCCACGGTGTTGCAGAATTTCAATTCCCAGCATGATGTGATATATGGTGAATCTTATCCATGGCATGTCCTTCCACTCGCTGCAAGACGTGATGGAATCAATAAATGAAGACGCCAAATGCACGCACCGGAAAACACACGCAATATAGTAATCATGCTCATTTTTGCACGCACCGTTCTGCAACACTGCATCAGTTCCAGCAAGTTCCCAACCGTCATGCTCATCCACAACGCTGAGGCAAAAGGCAGAGCGATCAAATGCTCGGCACAGGGAATGAACCCTCTGGCCGAAACTTCGACCGGTGCCATTTGGAGCCCAGAGCAGATGATACTCGAGGATTGCTTGGCTATCGTCTGGTTTGGCTACACAGCCTAACTGCCATCGCTAAGCAATGATGTTTGCACTTGAGAAACCAAAATTCCCTTGTCTCATACAAAATGTCACATGGCACCATTGTTGACTACTGTGCAAATCACATCATCCACATCATGAACCATGGAAACCATGCAGACATTGCCAGCCTCATCGACCGGCTGGAAACAGCGTCGGGCACACAATGCCGTCATTTGCACTCAAACACAAAATCAGGAAAACATGAAAACCCTGATACGAAAGCGCTGCTCCACTCATGCAAGACAAAATGCGCACTCAAAAACTGCTGGATAAACGTCGGGTGGGCATCCAACCTTTGCGGCGATGATTCAACCAAGCTGCTGGTACCACTCTTGTCACAAGAAGCGGCTGCTGCGGCGAAAAGCCCTTGTCTGTGTTCATCGTTTGAAGCGAACTCTCGGACCACGAAGCGACTATCTTCTTGCCTCTCCACGTGCTGGCGAAAGCTAGCGTCTGACGGAACCTCAGTGACACAGGCTCCAAGACTCCTATGTAGAGCCGCTTGATCTTGAATGCATTGGACTTCCGTCCAGCTCTGCAAGATCGGGCACATTCTCTGAACACACACAAAGTTCGCAAAGCTCTGCATCTTTAGACACTTGGCCCGATTTCAGCTGGCTGATCCATCGCAGAGAAGCAATCCTTGAGATTGCTGCTGTAATTACTCAAAAAGATAGCCACGCTCTTCATCCTCAAAATGACATGTTGCGAGGTGGGCGTTCAAGAGGTGGCCTAACACAAACATGTTTGGAAACGGCACAAAGTTTCCCAAGCGAAGCCAACCCTGAACTTGTGCGTCCATGGTTGTTCAAGAAACGAAGCATTGGACAAACAATGTGGAGCTAGAGTCGTTACGGCTCATAGCGATAGGGGAACATTTGCAATCAGAGAATTTGGGGCTTTGTGCCTAGTATGTAGGCGGATGTTCATGCCGAGTTTTGATGAAAGTGCAGTTCACCCAGACTGCGCTTTGGAGTTGAACCTAGAATCCAGAATGGATCCTTCCTTTGAGTCAACAGGAACCTCCATTTGGGTTGGGCGGGGGGAATTTGAAGGGGACCGGCCATATTTGATGCATAGTCCTTGATCACGTGCCACATCGAAAGTTGCGCCATGGAGGCACGAGCAGAGCGGCTAGCAGCCGCTCAGCGGAGGTTCCCCTTGGGGCACCAGGTGATCCTGAGCCCCGCCCTCGATGTGGCTGCCGCAAATTTGTAGAGAGATCTCCAGTTTCACAAAAAGGGATTTGTCTCAGATGCGATTTGTTCAAAAAGGGAACCCCAAAGGGAGAACTGAGAAAGGAGGCGGCAGCAAAAGGAACAACAAGGCAAGCAAGCAACCAAAGTAATCCAGTCAAAGTGGCCTCATGTCATTTCTGATGGTAGTCTGGGGTGGTTTTGTAGGGAATCTCAAGGGAAACTATGTTGTTGCCCGTGTGTAAACACGTCATGCGAGAAGCGCGCAAGTTCAGGTGCAATGGCTGCCTGCGCCATGGCAGTGTTTATCCTTCTGGCTGCTGGACTCGCTGGCTTTGAGGTGCGGACTCGCGCTGTCAGAACTTCAGAACTGAGTTCATGGATTCGAGGCGGATTCGGCCACAAAGCCTGGTCATCTGCCGGCGCCATAGAAAACCTCAGCGGCTTTCTATGCGACGAGTGCGTCGAAGGCTGACAGTGCTGGCCCCGCTCTTCGGCTTGTTGATGAGCGCCGCCAGCTCGGAGTCTGCTTAGAGAGGTGTTGGGAGGTAACGCGTGCCTGTTCCACCGGTGCTCAGGCGCAGGTACTGACGGCCTCGGTGCTGACAGAGTTGTCCAACTGCGGAGGTGGGGGAGTGGCACTTGCCACCTTCCGACCTCAGGGAATAAGCTGTCTACAGCTTCCTTGGAGCTCTTTCGGGAGATCTGGAATCTAAGTGGGTCGTTTGTGTCGGATGGCCAGGTAGTGATCTCTTCCGAGCCCAAGATGTGGTCCAGCAGAGCCTTTCGGGTGCCAGCCTTGATGGACCCAAGCCTGTTCTTGGCAATGGTCGGGGCAAAGGAATGAACTGCCAACGCCAAATGGGTGTGGTTCACAACTTGAGAGCCAGGGACTGCAGGTTTTAGTCTAGTTCTCCATTTGGGGTTCCAGGTGGGGAAATATCCTAGTTTTGAGTCGCAGCCAAATGTATGTCGGTCCCAGACGCACAAAAGAGTGGAAGTTCCAACGTGGAGGCAAAGAAGGGGCAGCAGATTAGCAAGGCAAACCAGGTAGTGCTGCATGCTTCATACAATCCAGCAGACTGCAGTCTCATCTTTCGAAGGCGGGCGGAATGAAATCTCACCCTGCTTGAGGCTTGCTGGCTGAGCTACGGCAGCGCCAGAAGATGTGAAGCGGCAAAAGCCAGAGGGGAATTGGCAGTTGGGTAAAAGTAGATTGTGCAATGTCATGTCATGTAGGTTTTATCATCCTCTTTGCTGAGACACAGAGAGTTGTGCCATCTCCTCTCACCCCTGTGTGCATTGGGCTTTTGGAGTCTCTTTGGAAGGGAGCAGCTTGGGCTGACACGGGAGTGTGTCGAAATGATAGATCTTGAGTTTCCAGCCAATGGTACCCGTGTTTGAAGTCAAGGAGCTGAGCATCTCCTGTTTAGTTCAAATATGTGTCGATTTTTGTTCGCACCCATATTCCTTTCTGACAGGAAGCAGTGTCTATGATGTTTTTTTTTTGAAACAGATTGCTAGGAATTCCTTGATCTATTTTCAAGAGGGGGAGGGTCCTGCCCTAAGCAGACTGTCTGAATCCAATGAGAGCTGCGTTGCTAAGAACGGTTGCACGGGGCTTAGCATCGAATCCAATCATGGGTATACTTCGTGGGCCCTGTTGCTAAACCCTCCCTACTGTTCTCTAAATCAACCTTCAAAAGGACAGCATTTCGGATTTTTGGATAGGGTCTAGACACCAAGTCAGGTAACGTCGCTCGCAAGTCAATCTCAAGATGACTGTGTTGCATGGTGGCTCATGTAACTGGCAGCCTGCCTCAATTAAATGAGTTGATCAGCATCGCATTCCTTTTCCGCTGAGTCTTGTAGCTTTCAGAATCTATGAGATATACCCTTCATGTCACCAGATTTGCTGGTCTTATTTGTCTATGTGTATTGGAAACATCAACCATAGCGAGCAATGCAACATCTAAATGTCGGTCACAGATAATTCAATTAATTCTGAGCTTCTGAAATGACCTGCGCCGACTCCATGTTTGCGTCTGCCCGGGGCACCAGTGCCATTTCGACCACCAGACGCAATGACAGCAAATCTGCCACCTGGCAGGACTCGATTCCGCAAGTGCGATAAGTATGGAGGTTGAAGGCTTCTGGTCAGGATCCCTCCTTGAATTGTGTTAAAGACTTGACTTGTGCATCGGGAGATGTCGATGTGTTTGTTTTGTGAAGGCAGACTGGAATGGGTTTTAGAGCCTTGGTGTTGGAAGGCAACAAGACTCGCAAAAGGCATGCGAAACGCAGAGGGCTCTCGAAAGACATTTGGCTTTCTTGGAGTCAATAGGGGCACGCCAATGAAAAGGACATCAGGTCACCATGGCAAATCTGCTTGGATCTGAGCGCAGACCGTCCTAGGTACAGAGCCTCATCCAGAGTGATGTTGCCGCCTTCTCGCCTCCGCCGAGGAGCCTTTGGACAAGGGACAGTTGATTTCCGAGTCAAGCAGTCAGCAGTTCACCAGTGGTTTCCATTGAAGCTGCCCCTTGTTCCGAAAAAGGGAAGTGGAAGAAACCCTGTTGGACATCTGATATCTGCCTCTTCAACAGTTTGCGTCAGTTTCCATCGGTTTCTCCGTTGTTCTTGTGATTCTTCACGCCTTCACTAGGAGCGCCGCGACACCCAGCGTGTGCTCGCGGGTGAGCTCGCCGAAGGAATCCGAAGGGACGTTTCTTGAGAGCCCCAAGATCATTGGTAAGTTAGTACACGGGTGTGTCTTTCTAAGGGACCCCTTTGCTGGGGTTGTTTCAAAAAAGAATCCAAGGGGAGACTAGCTGCTTTAGGACAAAACAAGACACCTGCATTGGTCTCCTCTCTGCATAAAGCCTGAGGAGGACTTGCACAAGAAGCCCGCGGCCGGCATGCGCTCTATGTCCAGCCCTGCTGGTCGTGACTCGGGACTAGTCTTAAGACTAGAGATGCGGGCCATGAGACCAATAAGACCAATGAGACCAGTGCTGCCAAGGAGCTTGGTCCTTGCCTTGTTGATTCGGTGTGGGCAGTGAGTGGCTTGGCAGCTGCATTCGCGTCCTAGGTGCCAGCGGTGCCAGCGGTGCCAGCGGTGCCAGTGAGGTCAGCGAGCCGATATGGCATGTGCGGTCCCACAAGGACTATGTGGCGCCGCGGCAGTCTGTTTATGGCATGCAGCGCCTTGGCCAAAGATCTTTTGACACGGGCTAGAGCCAGTTCTTGTCAAACGATTAGTATATGTTTTAAACAAATAAGAAAACAACTAGGGAGCCCTTGATTCTTTGGGTGCTGAGTTTCCTTTGAGTTGCTGATCGATGAGCTGTTTTTGTCAAGGTACATGAAGGGGACGGGCGTGCCATGCGGCAAAAACTGGGGAGCCTTTTGTCGCAGGCGCGCTGAGACGGAAGGCCGGGGTCGCATGTACAATGCACGGAACAGCCGCCTGCCTGGCCCTCCTGCCAGTCAAAAGGCCCTTGCCGCCTGCCTCAAAAGATACGCGCCGGCGTGGAGTGGGCGTGGAGTGGTCACTATTGGTTTCTCATGGACCGGACTTGGGTTGATGTTTGTCTCGTTGACCTTAAACAACAGCAACACCATCCAGAGCCTTCTGAACCCAACGAGAGCATGGGAGTATTCCCAATTCAGCGTTCAGAGTTTGGGGTTTTGACCAAACTGACACGTGTTTTGGGTTCAAGTTCGCACGCTTCGCACGGTTCGCTCGTGAGGTGGGTCCCCTGGACTGTGCGCCCCGGTTGGACCTGAAGCCGCCGCCGGCCCCCGGCTCCAAGACCTCGTGCCTGGCGGAGCTGGGCCAAAATGACGCCCCCACCGGCAAGGCGCCCACCGGCAGAAACCTGCAAAAGGGCCGTTAAAGTTCGGTTAAAAGCAATGGTGGCGCCAAAAACAGAGGCCAAAGGGTGGGGGTTGCATGCCTCGCTCCCTGAAACTGAAGTTGCATGATGTTGCCTGAAGCAGATTGTCGGAAACGGACAGGCTTGGCCAAAGCTGGCAGCTTCCAGTCTATCCAAGCTAACGAATGAACACTGATTGCTGTTCATGCAGTGGAATGATCATGATGTGTATATTATATATATAATCTACATACACGATACTATTTTCTAAAATACGACGCAGTCAGTTTTGACAATGCCCTGGTCCACGCGCGGTCGCAGTAGCTTCCTTGTCAGGAGAACCACGGACGTGGGCGGTCAGATATGTGCAGCAACTTGGCTGCTTTGGGCCCCCAAGCGGCTGGATATTGTTTTTGAGTGACACATCCAGGTCATTTGAGAACGACTTGGCGGCCTCGCCCGACCAATGTCCTAGAGGAGAAGCCACAGGCGCTTTGGAGCGGGTCAGGGTGTTGGCTTCGCAAGGTGTCACTGTGCAGTGCCAGGACTCCTTTGCTCGGCGCGCCACCACACGCGGCTGGACCAAGATCTCGCCGCCAAAGCAGGCGAAGCGGCCACGGGTCCCTTAGATCCCCCAAAACGCTCGAAGCAGGGTGGACGGGTGTTGCACGCAAGGAGAAGGCGCCCAAGCCGGATCTTCGCACGATCCACCGCAGCTCCCTAGATCCTGACCGGAAGCCCGCAGTGAAGCGCGGAGACCGGCGCCGGGCGGAATCAGAGGCTTCAGGGCTTGCCGCGGCGGCCTGACGGGAAGATAGGCCTGCTGACCGCGTGCACGACAGCGAGAGTTGGAGTTTTCCACTCTTGAAGTTCGCATCTCCCGTGGTCTTGGACAAAAGAAGAATCTTTTGTTCTTGGCACCTAGGATGATCCAGAGCGAACGTCGGCACACGGTTTTGGTCAATTTCCGATTTCCAGGCGCAGGTGGCTGGCAGCACTCTGCTTCCCAATAAGCGGAGTGCTGCCATAGACTTGCTCCTCAAGTGCTTGCACTCGGAGTGCAGACTTCCGTTGTATTTGAGGTCGGATGTGCCACGAGACGTTAGAGGATCGAGCCTTCCATCAAGATGGACCAAGCACGTATGGAATTGGTCCAGGCACAGACGATGTCGAGTTAATGACCGGATACCCTGCTGAAGGCCGGGTCATCCAAATGCATCAATGGCTGGCTGAATGTTGGCTTACTCTCATTGCGTTGCCTTCGTCTCACCAGATGTGCTGGCTGCAGCACATTGCAAGAGGCAAGATGCAGAAAGGCCTGCTCAGGTCTGTGGTCACATGTCATGCGTATGTTTCTCAGATAGATTTGCAATGTTCCCTGATGTTCCCTGTGTAAACCAGCCCAAAAGACTAATTGCACGTCCGATCCATTCCGCAGCCTAATGGGCTCCGGTGGGCAACCGCCATGCCGATCGATTCCACATCCGGCTGAGGCCGACAGCGAGCGCCCCTGGGCCCCTGATCATGCGAGTATATGCGAGTAGTGCTCATGATGCTCATGATGCTCGTGGGTCAGGTGCGGCAGTTGGGCCATGCTTCCGGGTCCAGCGGGTCCAGCTGGTCCAGCTGGTCCAGCACGTGCACGCGCGGTTTTGGGCTCAGCCTGTTTCGGACGGGATGGTCATGAATCCTGAATATTCCCTACCTGAACGCATTCCCACAAGCTTTTCAAAAGGCGTGTCCTTTTTTGGACCAAAGGTATGGGTGCTGTTGTTTGTTGAGGGGGTGCCATTTTGGGGTTGTTGCGAAAGCAAAAGATACGCTGCACCGGTTCCCCTTCTTGTATTGAGCACGACCTTGTAGCCAAAGAAGAGCGAGAACGACTTTGAAGGTTCCTTTAGCGGTTCCCTTATGTTTAGACAAGCCTAAATGTGCCATGATCAATTGACCCCTTTGCTTGGAGTGTCAACTAACAGACAGGGTTTTTGGACCATGGGAAGCGTTTCTGAGGCAATGGCAAGGAGTTTTGACCAAGCCGCGGCCCGAATTCTCAGGCTCCGCACTTTGAGACCGCAGATGTCTTCAAGACGATCGGCAGGTTGGGTGATTTGTTTCAACTGGATGACATGGGACTGGTGTTTCCATGAGGTTTCGCTTTGGTTTCCCTTTCAAACCAGAGGCCTCAGTACTCAGATCTGAGCCGCTGAGTCTGAGGAGCTCCTGGGCGCATTGTGGAAGCTGGCGGACGGGCTTGGAGACCCAGCGCTTGGGACTTGCGAGTTCGACTCGACCCCCCCCCCCGGCTCCCCAAAATGAACATCAGACTTGAGTCAGTCGCGTGTGTGTGTGTGTGTGTGTTGTGTTGTGTGTGTTGTGTTGTGTTGTGTTGTATTGTGTTGTGTTGTGTTGCGTTGCGTTGCGTTGCGTTGCGTTGCGTTGCGTTGCGTTGCGTTGCGTTGCGTTGCGTTGTGTTGTGTTGTGTTGTGCGTGTGCGTGTGCGTGTGCGTGTGCGTGTGCGTGTGCGTGTGCGTGTGCGTGTGCGTGTGCGTGCGCGTGCGCGTGCGCGTGCGCGTGCGCGTGTGCGTGTGCGTGTGCGTGTGCGTGTGTGCGTGTTTGTTTTGGTTTTCTGGTGGAGCTTCAAGTCGTTATTCAATGGAAAAGACAACCTTTGGGCTATTTTCTTCTTGCCTCGGCCAGACATTCCCAGCCAGGTCTCGTCGCCTTCACCTCCGTCGCCCTGGCGCGACGCAAGGCGTGCGGCGTGCAGAGCGGAGCGGATTGAATCCGCGCGGCGGAGTTCCGTGGCAGGTCACCAGAACCGCCGTCCTTCCCAGACTGCAGGGCGTACACGGCCCATGCCTTGGTATGATTAAACTGCACCTAGGGAAAACGCAATGGTTTCTGCCGCAGGGATTGGCTGCTTGTATTCCGCATTTCCTTGAGAGTGTCCTGACTGGAAGCGAGCCTTCGAGCCTTACCGCTCGCCGTCTGAGTCCACGAAGTCCACGAGCTGCCTCTGGTGGAGCGCGCGACCCACGCGCACGAGCTGCACGAGGTGCACGAGGTGCACGGGGTGCACGGGGCGCAGCTGGGCTCGGTGGTGCGGCGGCTCTACTCCAGCTGAGGCCTTAGCTCCGATTTGCTTCGAATTCGAGCGGTGCCATCGAAGCGACTGGGCGCGAGGGACTATAGGATTCCCTGAACCAAGGTTTACATGCAGGCCGTGTAAGAGTGTTGCGCAACCAGCAGGGTGGGTGAGCATAATCCTTAGCATATAGTTGTTCTTGGGATCTAGATTTGGATTGAACGAACGCCATTCAGAAAACGTCTGAACTCAAGTTGAGACACAATCATACTGTATCCGAATATTGAGGGCAGGGACAGCAACCACAAACCGTTTCAAATATTCGCCATGATGCGTCGACATTGGGTGTTCTCCTTACGAGGAGTTTCTCCGAAACCCCACCAACTGTGCGTCGGGAGTGCCCCATGGCTTGAGGTTTTCGTAGTTCCACGAAGACATGGAAGGAGATGGAAGATCATGTGAAAGAAATACTTGACTCATGAACCAATTTTACACGTCTTATTGTCAGTATGACTTGGGTCAGTTGAAGCTTGTGGATTCTGTCATTCATCCATGTCAACAGTGTAAGCCAGCGAAGAAAGATGGTTGAGAAAACAACATTATCAAGACGACCCAGTGAGAATATCTCTTAGAACATTAAGTGGCAGATCCGTCCTGTCAAGTGGTAGCACCAATTGTGCGCAGTGTTGAGACCCGTGAGGCTTTAACGAGTGCGACGCTGACGGCACGGCGTCTTGCTTTACAGAGGACTCGGGGCTCAGACACATAGTGACATAGTGTGATTGATTGGTGTTAGAGTTCAGCCATGAAGCCCTCAAGGATGTCAGGCAGTTCCGAGGGTCCTTGGCGAACCGTGACCCATAAGAATGTAACGCTAACAGCCCGGGTTTGGCAAAATGGCAATCCTTTTTGAGTGTTGCACTGAAATGTCGGCGGCACACTTGTTTGTGTTTTGTCATGATTCTAAGCAGGCCGTTATTTTCGACAACCATATAGGTATATTGTTTTGGATTGCAAGTTTCTTCACATCGGAAAAGGCCACAAAGCGTTTAATTTGACAAAGGCAAGCTTGGAGAGGGCTGAACTCCGAAATCTTTAGAGGACGTCGTCTATGAAGACCTCCTCCTGGGCAACTCCACGATCGTCAGTGCCTGAGTCACCATCGCGAACAGAGCCCATCAAGTCATCTTCCGACCCCCCTGGTTGGCTTGAGAACTTGAGAAACACAGCCACGGACGCGTACCCAAATTCGTCTCAGGTGCAGTCACGCGAGGAGTTCCTAGAGCTGATCCGCACACATCCCGTCTTTGTGAGCGCCAAAGCTTGCGGCATGCTGGGCTTGCGGGGCGCCTAGCTCCTTGTTCCTCGGATCGGTCTTCCGGCTGTCGTTGCGCGCTGCGAAACAGGTTGACGTTTTTTTTTTCCCCAGCATTTTCCGTTGTTGTTTTTCGCGGCTTGCACCTGGGCGTCATGGGAATCTTGCCAGGGCAGGGACGAAGCCTCTGAAAAAACCCTCATTGACCACCTGTTCCGGTTCAGCTCGACATGAACTGTGATTCAAGCAGAGAACGCGCAAAGATGCGACAAGTCAAAGCCCACAAAGTTATTTTCACTGTGATTAAGCGATGCCTACAGTTTTGCACCTACTTCGATCAGTGCACACAGCACTGCTTTTTTGTGCATGCAGAATACGTCATCGACTTGCTCCCTTGCTTCTTCATTTTCTAGTTCACTGACGCTCTTAGTTTTTAACCACCTGTGCAAGCCAATGATCAAAGCACCCAAGAAATTTGCAAGTCCATGAGGCCCGCTTGATTCTTTAGGTTTGGCTCCGCTTCAGGTTTTGATTGTGACTGAATTGCCTTGCCTTTTTCGGGATACCCTTGAACTGGGTGCTGACGACTCCTGGTATACGCGCGAAGGCCACCGCTGGACCTCCAGGTCAAGGTGGACAGCATGTCGGAGGACACGTGGGATGGGTTTGGAACGGGGGCGATGCCCGGATAGTTTTGAAGAGGCGGAAGGGCTGTGTGCTTTCTTTTTTCTGGGGAAACGAGTTGTGTTTGTGTTTGTTTGTTTTTTGTTGGGGGTCAGACGAAGATAACGAACAATGCCTGATAGGACACCAGAAGATACACTGTGGGCGTGGAGTGGCACGTCGAGGCATGGAGCCCAGGCTTTCACGGCGGTCCAAGTACTCGGATTCCATGATCAAAAAAAAACCTTTACTTGGGTTAAAAGGAATGAACTGCCACCTGGTAGTAAGGATCCTTAATAACCATTGAGATGATTCCTGTTAGAGCAACCATGACGAAAGGATTCATGACCATCCCTGGTATCCAAAAATGAGTAGGTGTTTCGACTGGCACGGGTACTGTGAAAGGAAGCTAGCCACACTTGCCAAGTTCCCACAAGGCTAGCCCCCGAATTTCCTTTGTGAGTGGACACGAGCTGATTATTGGCTTTGCAGACGATCAGGGCCTTTCGCGATGTTTCAAAAGGGATGCAGGGCCATTTGGAGTTTCTTCAAACACACTGTGTCTCGTTTGCCTGCAAGACTTCGGATGCCGGCCGAGGTTGGTGGGCAGCCGCTTGTGCTTGGCAGAGGCTTGAGCTTCATGAAGATCTGTCGCAAGACAGGCCCGGAACTGAAACTGGGGGAGAAGGGCAGCGAAGGCTTTCAAGGGACTCCACGGGCTGCCAAGAGAATTGGGGCTGTGATGGTTGATGCCCGTCTTGGTGAGGGAAGCGGCAACCATGGATGCCCCGATTTGGGGAGCCCCAATGTCATGAGAGCTCTGCGTTCAGGCCTCATCGCGAAGGCCACCGACATCGCTGAGGCGCCGTGGCGCGCCATAGGCCTCCTCTTGGCTCCCTTCGCGCCAGAAGCCCCAGGTCGCCCGGGAAACCGATGTTGCCGGTTCCCATGGCGAGGTGCTGGCTCAATGTGCTGAGTTCTTGACTCCAAACAAGTGCACCATGTGTTCATAGTGTTTTGTCCTCAGCATGTCCCGTTCCGTGTGGATCGCTCGGGAAAAAAGCCATCGCCGGGATTCTGTGCCTCGTTCCGAGGCGCGGCATTCGAGACCTCTCGCGGCTGCTGAGGGATTGGAGCTTCTCCTCCGCGAGGGCCCAAGGCTTTGCCTGGAAATTCGGATGGCTCATCTCGAAGGAGGGTGCCACCTTGGAGGGACACCAAAAAGAAACCTTTGCCATTTTTGGGACGCCCAAGTGGAAGCCCTGGTGGATTTTGAGAAATTGGGGCGTTGTCCCCGTTTAAAGGTGCAGACCATTTCTGGAGGGATCACCCCCTTTTTCCTTAGGATGGGTTCTTCTTAGATCTCGTATCAACATTAAGAATCGAATTGGTAGCGACCCCCCGTCAACAGTAAGTTGCGAATTGGCGGCGAGTTGTCCAGGGCAAGTTGTCCAACAAGAATCCAGGTTGAATGTGGGGGCTTTTGCAAAGAGAAATGGCATGGCCAGCATTTGAACGGATCCCACATGTGGTCACCCAGGTAAGCAGGTAACCAAGATTACTGAACGCCTGGCTGATGAAGACGGAGTCCCATGTTGGAAGAAATATTCCGCTCAGGGGGAGTTGCAGTTGCACTCGCCTCCCAAAGGAAGCTTTCATGTATGCATCATGTGCGAGTTAGGATGTGGCCATTGTTGCAGTCAGCTCAGATGGCCAATGAGTCGGCGAACTGAGGTCATTACGGTGGTGCTATTTGCGATGCTCTTCCTCGACCGGTACCTTGCTGAGTGCTAAATGTCTCTCAAGGCGGCATGAAGGTCCGTCGTTTTTGAGGGTACCCTTTTTTGAGGTTTTAAAGGGAAACCAAGAGGAGAACCACCGTATAAAATGTATATAGATATGATTGGGCTGGGTCTCCAAAAAAAGAACCCCATAAGAGTGTCATCCAAATCAACTGCAAAGGGAGCTTCTGGATTTTTACAGCAGAGGCCACAGGGGAAGGCTCAGGGATTTCCATTTTCGAAGATGAACTAAGACGCCCAAGCGGCTTTCCGCCACGGCGGAAAGCGGGGCTGAGGTCATCCTTGGACATGCTCAGGGATGACATTGATACTTTGGATGATTTTCGGAACCAGCTGGACCAGCCGCAGGCTGAGATTGGGGCAGAAAACGCTTGCCCAGCCCAAAGATAGCTGAGAGCTGTTCTCAAACTCTGAGTCATTTTGCCTGTCCTGTTGCGAGAATGTCAGTCTGGAAGCGGGCTCAGACCAAGCTTTCAGGTCTGACCACAGCGGGCTGAAAAGCATGCTGGCCGAGATGGTTGCCAATGTAGGCACGACATGATATTTTCTTGAGCCAGACTGCATAATATAATATATATATATATATATGCTACCCCCCCCCCAGGGACCTACCTTTTGGTTGCCTCTCCAGTGCATGTTTTGCCCATCTAGGACTGGCAGGAACGATCTCTCAACTAGGACCAGGACCAAATGAGACTAGAACCCAGTATCTCTCAAGTGGGACTGGGACCAAACTAGGACTAGACGACCCACCTCAGATTCTTACAAAAAAAGAAACTTCAAGTATAACTTCCTCTGTAATGTCCTGTATACTTTCTAATTATTGCAGTAAACTAGGGAGCAACCTAGCACTAGAACCAAGGATCTCTCATCTAGGACCAAACTAGGACTAGACCATTTAAGTCTACTTCTTATAGTATTTGGATGTCAAGTACTACATTCTGGTGGAAAGAAAGTCATGTTTAATATTTGGTTTGAACCAGAATAACCATAAATTATGATTGGATATGTTCTGTAATTTTAATCTACTGTTCAGATAGCAGTTGCATAGAAGTTGATTAATATATTAACTACAATTCATAAGGAACTTCCTTTGTATTGTCCTTTGTACGTTCTATTTATTTCAGTAAGCTAGGACCATACTAGGCCTAGAACTAAGGATCTCCCAACTAGGAGTAGGACCAAACTAGGACTAGACCATCTAAGAATCTAACTCTAGTTCTGAAAGTGATTGAATTTCAAGTACAATGTTCTATTGGACAGGAATCGTTTGTACCATTTAATTTGACATAGAACAATCAATACTTAAGTTCGAATCTGAATCGAAATTCTGGCTGGAGTATGTCCTTCTTAAGCTCCATTGAAATTCAAGCAGAAATTGGGTCGAATGTGATAAAACATACTAAGTGGAATTCATAAGGAAAGAATCCAAAGGTCCAAAACTTGTGTCTTTTCACTAGTCCTAACACTACCATGGTCAGAAATCACCGTAAAACACAGCATTGTGTAGTGTTTTTCATACTCAATTCACATCTCCACCAACGTACACTCGCTAAATGCTCGTTTGAATTTGAACACAATTTAATTGGGACTCAATACGGAAATATTTGGTCAGAATCCTAATGGTAATCAAATCTGAAATTTCGAGTTTAAATAGAGTTCCTTTCCCAATATGTACTTACAATTCAATTAGAGCTTTAGCAGGATTTGATAAAGAACCCAAGCCTGTATTCAACATTCAAGAATCAATATTCTCTAGACAAGTCTTCGTTGCAGACGCGAGTCCAGGCCCGAGTGAAACCCATTGAAGCCAACTGAAATTTCAGTTGAGCCTGGGTTCAAAATTCCCTAGAAAGCGTTGGCCTACAAACTTGAATGTGGGCCTAGATTGAAGCAGATTGAATGAATAATCAGGACTTGGATGCTTGCACAACACTGTGCCAAAGTACAGCCGCGCAAAGCGCAATGTTGAATTTGGGTCTCGATTTAAACCGATTTAAACCGATTTAAGTTTAAATCGGGCATGGATTCAAGATTCAAGAATCCAGGCCAAACTTTTCCAGGGAATCTTGAATCCAGGGTCCGATTTAAACTTAAATCGGGCATGGATTCAAGATTCAAGATTCAACAACATTTTTCAGGCAGTCTTGAATCTTGAATCTTGAATCCATGCCCGATTTAAGTTAAATCGGTTTAAATCGGTTTAAATCGGACCCTGGATTCAAGATTCCCTGCAAAAGTTTGGCCTGGATTCTTGAATCTTGAATCTTGAATCCATGCCCGATTTAAATTTAATCGGTTTCAATCGGTTTAAATCAAGCCTGAAGCTTCCAGAACGTCCTTGGAAATGCTTCTTTTTCATTGCTCTCCCCAAAGCCCAAAAAAGGGTAGAACACCCTGCAAATACCAGTGAATTCTTCAAAAAGGTAGGTCCCTGGGGGGGGGGGGGTACCATATATATATATATCACATCTGTATGTTGATCACGCTGTGTTTGCTGTTGTTTTCCAAGCAACAACAGATTTGACTTGCCTGCAAAGCGGGTTTGTTAATTTGTTCTGCATCAGATAGGTTTCCTTCCCCGTTTCGATTGGTTTCAAGTCGAGGGGGTTCAGCAAAAGGTGCAAATCCGCAAACTACCAACCCAAACCACCATTTCCGCGTGTTCTAAACGGCCTATTGTCCTGCTCTTCGCTTCTTGTTCAACTCATACTTGCCAGGCTCCATTGGGTCACCCAGCTGACGCCGGTCTCACACGTTTCACTCGGTCGCATGAGGCAAGAGCCCTGTCCACATGGGGGGTCTGTTTGAACAGAATAACTGTTTAGTTGTGCATAAAGGGAAGCCCGCAGGAAAGAAGCCAGTGTTTGGGGGTTGGGAAACACCCTCATTGACCTTTTGGAATCTGGGCCTGTGAGCCTTAACTAAAAGCAAGTTGCAAACCAAATAGAGATTGGGGCAGTCGGGACGGCTAAGGTCTTGCTTGAGTAAAGCTGACCAGCGGATCGACGGCCAAGCGTCGTATGAGTTCGCAGCCGGCCCGTTCAAGCGAATTTTCTTCTCAGCATGGCTGGAGAGATGCGGATTGAGATGAGTGCGGCAGAGAGAACACTAGGCCCAAGTGGCCCAGGGTATATCCCGGTGCCTAAAATGCCTGGAGTGTCCGAGTGGGATTGTCCAGCCCCACACCCTGTGGAGGTCCTACCTGAAAGGCCAGCACATTGCGACTCTTCCAAGCGGAAGCATTTGGTGGCTTAGGGGTTGATTGAAAGGGTTTTGAGGGTAGCTCTCCCAACTGAAATTCATCCCGTGCGTGGCTTCGCAGTTTTCCAGCACAATGCAGTTTCGGCGCCTTTGGCCGCCGCTAGTGTTGATTTGCCTCCACGCGATCCTTGGATGCTACTAAACTGGTTGCCAGTTTTCGCGGTGCAGTGCGTCCGGGAAGGGATCGACCTGGATGCGCGATGCCCAGGATCGCGTGTCAGGGCTTGAAGTACCAAAACTCAGGCAGGAAGAAGCATGAAGAAGCGAAGCTGTCGGCCTTGCACCTTTCAGCTTTCAGCTAGGTGACTTCAGTGACTTCTGCATCAACGGGCATGTAGCACCCAAATTCTTCCTCCTGGGGGCCCAGCCACTTGCCGAACTGAGTTGCCCGTTGGATTTGGGTTGGTCTCGAAATAGGAGAACCCCAAATTAAGTGATACTCTCAAAAACAGACACGTCCATTTGTGCCCTAATGTGCCCTAGGAAGAGTGCGACCACCAACTTTGCCTTCCGCTTGGGAGATGTTGGTCAGGCTCTAAGCGAAGCTTTTGAAAGCTGTCGAATCCGTTTTTCTAAGGCGCAAATATTGCTTGGGCGCAGCCGGGGCCGGAGGAACCGTCATTCTTCTGGAAAGAGCCACATATCTTCAACCAGGAGGGGCTGTTTATGTTGTAGGCACGCCAGGCCTAGTGCAAGCATTTGAGTCTGGAGATAGAAATAAGATGGCAAGGGTCACGCTCTGCAGGAGAACTATAGAGGTTTGACGAAAGATCAGTGGCTGGCATACTACCCGAAGTGCAATGCATCACAGAGGCTTGGCAGTGGGTACCGCACTGAACATTCTGGATGCCGTCGCTGTACACCAAGAAATCTTGCCGATTACCGCAGTTGCATGTTTGTTAATATAATGTACGTGAATGTGAAGCTGCTTTTGGCTTGCTTTTGCTTTCACATAAGGAACATGATTGCTGTGGACGCAACGCCTGCTTATTTGGCCAGTTACGAGGAGATGTCGCATGTGTTGCATCGACTGCATGCACTGGTGGCTTTTGACCCAAGCGCCTGGTTGGGGTGGCAATGGTGTGTCCCAAAATGGGGCCCTCATGTTGGATGCTTTTAAGGGGAGCCTATGGGACACACCCGAGGGTGTTCTCGAAATGAGGGACACGCATTCCGAGGCCGCCAAGTGTTTTAGATCCGTTGGTTTCCCAACAGCAGCCTTTGGGATCTATTCCACACCCAAAAAGCACCTCTTTGAAGGCTCCGGAGCGCATCCTGAGCTGGTACGGTGCAGACCTCATTCAAGATTCAAGCCCAAAGAAACATGTTTTCTGGATTGGGGTGTGAAGTCTTGGATTGCGCTGAGGACATGAGGTATCAGAAAAGATCGAGTTCCTGATTTTGCTGCGAGACCCGCTGCTTGGACATGTCACATATGATGTGTACGACGTGATGCGTGGAGGTTCAGATTACCATTGGTTCAGATTGGTGAGTTGGGTTGGAGTGTCGGAGGGTGGCAGTTCAATCAAGGGCTCGAGCCAATCCAAGCAGTGACTCTGTGCCAGGTTGGAAAGGATGCACTCGTCCTTCCACCACCAGAAGGACCGAGCTTTGCGATGTGTCTAACCCGCCTTTCCTAAATGCCTTTGTCTTACCTGATTGGTTTGGATTGGTTGGGGCGGGCATAAAGACAAGGAGAGCGCCCAAGTCCCCGCAAAGGCAAGCACAAGGCCCAACCCGCTCAAAATATCGCAGCTCAGAACCAGCCGTCCTCGCCCTGGGCATCGATGTCCTTTGCGCACCGCGGCTGTCCGATTTGACTTTGGCCCCTAGGTCTAGCCTATAGGTCCCCCACAAGGAAACTTCAAACCTCAGAAAAGAAAGCGAGGAATCCAAGCATGCAAAGGGGTTCCGGACCGATGGATCTGAGGCAGTACGTTGATCGCGTGCTGGCAAACTATGAGTCACATGGCTGCCTCACAGGCACCGAGATGTGACGAAGTCGGAGAATGATTCAGATATTTGCGAAGTCATTTGCAGGTAATGTCTTCTTGGAGGATGATAACTACCACTGCAGCCATTCTGATGCCTCGAACGACCCCCTGTATTTGTCGATGTATGTGCCTTGGCGAAGTATTACAGTGTCCTGAATAGTTTGATTTTGAATGCAGTCACCACACTACAGCCGCCACTCATGTGCTTAAGTTGGTTTTGTTTGTCCTCCATTTGGTGTTCGGTGGAAATCGGAATGACACTGAAGCATGGGAATGTTGAACCACTAAGAAACTGGAAGAGCCATCGCACACGTATCAACTTTCTTGGCTGGTATTCGACGTGAGAGCAACTTCGCAGCTTCAGCCATTTGCCAGATAGAATGTGATGAGTTCAAGCATTGGTCTTGGAGACAATCCCACCAGAATTTGGTCAATTTGTAGAGCGCGCAGAATTCGCCCTCGGAGCGGTTTGCGCTGAGGGTACTGAAGGTGGTCGCACGTTGAAGAAGTAGTGCATCTTGTTGCGCACAAGTCCCTGGACAGTGAGTCGCTAGTACTCTTCGTGTCCCACCAATGAGTTGGCAGAAATCAGCTTGATGCGAAGGGAGAGCAGATCCGTGCTGAAAAAGAGTCACCAGGGAGAGATCTTGGTGGAGGATGACCACGTGTCACAATGGCAGCAGCAGAAGCGCACGGTTCTCTGTCGTTCGCACTGCGCCAAGCTGCTAGATGCTTACACTTGGTAGGACTATTCTGGCGCGCCTCACAACAACGAGGAAGTTTTCACAGGTCGAGAAGAGTAGTTGGCGCACATCGTTTCGATTCCCGTAAAGTTCGCCCAGTGTTTGTTCGAACATATTGCGACTGCTAACTTTAAAAGGCTCTGAGGAAGGACTGCTAAAAAGCTAATCGGTGTGGGAACACTGTGAACTTGGTTTCGGAGAAAGAGACCCAATTGGCAAGCCTTGGGCGCATTCCGAGGCCGCCAACCTTTGGCCCTGGTTCCGTTTCTTCCGCCCCACGCAGTTTGTGGTGGCGCCCTTCAGGCAGTATGTCACGCCAAAGGCAGATGGGTTTATCTCAAAATCGGAGACCCTCAAACTTGGCGGTGTCTTTTTGTTCCCCTTTGAAACCATCCAAAACAGAGGTGCCCCAAATAGGATGCACCCAAATGAGTTGCGGAAAAAAGTGTGGGCCTTTCTTCCTTGCCATGCAGGAGGGCACTCCGCGCCTCATGGAATATGAGGCCAAGCGCGTGGGTGTGCGGATCAAGCGGTTGGCTCGGACGATCAAGCCTGCTTACATTTGTTATGGTGGCACCGTGGTGCTGCGAAGCGAGTTAGGCCTGGCTCCCACATGTCGGCCATCCCCAAGTCCAGCAAGTCTGCGGGTTTGATCCGGGCAGCGCGGCGAAAGGCCGAGGAGACCCGAGAAGTTCTTGCAGCCGAGGCGTATCCTGGCTTGGAGGAGGAGCTGGCCATGATTGAGACTGCCAAGGTTGAGAAGCTGCAAGCCGTGATCGAGCGCTATGCTGGCGCACACTTGCTAGCTGAACTCTTAGGAGAGAGAGCCTTGAGAATCATTGAGAATTGAGACAATTGGAGCACCTGCCAAAGTCAAAAAGTGTGTGAAGTGTCAGAAGTGGGTGCAGGACAAAGGATGAAACAAGGCCTTGTACTCTTTGGCTTCGAGGGCGATCCCTCCAACACCTCTGCCGTTGCAGAATACTTGCATCTTGACTGAATATGGGCCCGAAGAGGCTTGCGTTGAGGCAGCTGACGTGGACCGGGCACCTTTGGGACGCAGTCATGTCCGGCCTGAGGTCGGAGAATTGGTGAGCTCGCTAGCCGCTATCATGTACAAATCGCCAGCCGCCTGTTGCCAAGGGCAATCATGTTGCGGGAAAAGCGGACCGACGCAGTAGGTGTTTGTCGAAGCTTCAGAAGATGTTGACATGTCTCGCCAAGGTAGGACTGCGATTGCTCACTTCAGTTCAGGCCGTCCAGCTTGGCTTTAGCCACCTGTAGGCTTCCCATCCTCCGCTCTGAGAGCTGGGATGGTGGCCTCCAAGAAGGAGGCGACAGTCGGTTGCAACGGGCTCAAACCTCACCTTGCCAGGTTTCACTGTGCAGCTTCGTGATATGGCTCGTCCCTGGCTCTACGCCAGCCTAAACCCACCTACCTAAACCCACCTAAACCCACCTAAACCCAACTAAACCCTAAACGCGCGAAGTCAGCACTGAACCAAGCCTAGACCTTCCCTCTACAAACCCTAAGCCAACCCAAGCCAGCCGTAAACCCACCCAAAAGAGCCCCCAAAACCCGCCCTAAACAAAAGCTGGAAACCACCAAACTCGTCTTCAGCCAGGCTTTCGGTGATGTCGGGGGCTAAAGGATGCTGGGGATGTTGACGTGGCGGGTGTAAAAATTGGAGCATGGTGTTTGCAAATGGATTCAAATACCCTGTGTGCGTGGGTTTCTTTTCTGCGTGACTTTGCACGTTGCATGGGTTGATCTGCAATGAAAAACAGGTTGGCACCTTCAGCTCCCTTTCTCGCCCTCTCGATTTCCCTGCAGGCGCAAAGCTGGTGAATGGTTGTGTGCAATGTCATCGTGGTGACGGCGGAGATTTTCGGCAGGAGCTCTGGAGAGTTGGCAGAGGTGTGAGTTTAGAGAGACGCAGAACATTTCCGAGGGATGAGGCAAGCAGTTTTCAGGGGCATGGCCATTTCTCCTTATTGGTCATCTTGGTCTATGGGACATTTTGATGACTTCTCCTTTGTGTTTGAAGACATACAAGGGCGACGGTCAATGTGCTAAATCATGTTCGCCAAAGGGTCCCCCAATCCGGCTGAATTGTCGGCCAAACTCATAGTCTGGTGTGCAAATTGCAGCCACCTTAGACTCACAGTAGGGGACGTTGGCAAATGCCTGGACGCCAAGACTTCTTGTTGAGAGCCGGGGTCGCCCGGTTGTTATTTTTTTTCAGTCTATAAGCCAATTCTCGCCTTGTTCTCGCATCCAGGAGTCCAAGATTTCTGTGGTTCTATGTGCTTTGCTTGCTTTGCGGCGCAGATGACCCCCGCCGGCTTCAGCCGCAGAGCTTTATCGCCGGGCAATTTCACCCCTTGGGGGCCGTGGCGCTGCAAGGCCTCGACGACTCTTTGTACAGAGCCGGGCGGCTCCGAGTTCGACCGCTCGGCTCCGCCTGCGGCGAAGCTGGATCGAGTTTGATGGATGCTGCGGTGCAGCCTCCGTGCGTAGGGAACATTTGCAATGGCGCCCACACGCGGCATGGGGACATGGCGGTGTGGGAAGCCGTGCGCATTGTCCGGGTGGGGATCTACCAGCTGTGCTGGTGTCGCCCATCGCTGGCCTGTGATGCGGCCAGCAACTGCTGCCAAGCAGACGCCGCCTTCAGCGAGGACGTGGGGCAGGTGGAGGTGGCCGGACCTGGGTGGGTCTCTGTGTCCCCAGTGCTGGGGCAAGGCTTTCGCTTCCAGTTGGAGGGACCCGAAGTCCTGCCAGGCATGCAGGCGGGATATGAGCCAAAATAGGCGAACGGAGCGATCTTTGTTGAAAGAGCACCAAGCGGGTTTATCTTAGCTTTAGCTTCAGGCGCTTGAAACAAGTGCTTGGCCCAGGCCTTGCTGCGCCTGCGGGTGAAAGGCCCCTGTGGCTTCACCCCCTTCCGGGATGCTGCAGAACTCAAGGCCTCGACCCTGCAGTTTGCGGCGGAGGAGCACGAGAACCTCGTCTTGGCCACGTCTCCCCCGACTGACTTGAACATCTCTGGGCAGATGGGGTCACAGATGATGGTGGCCTACCTGCAGCGGCACCTGGCATATTCCGTTTGCTGGTGCGCCAGGGACTGCACTTTCCCAGACGGCAGCATTGATGAGGAGGCCTTCTCCGCGGAGGTGGGGGAGTTCTTCCCGCGCGGGCCCGACACCGAGAGAACGGAGCCCCAGCTGGTGGTGGCGGGGGTGTCCTTCGACTTGGCGGTCCAAGGGGATCGGCTTAGCGCCAACGACCGCGTCCTGGTCCCTGCAGCCGAAACCGTCTGCGGGGACCAAAGCACCGCCCACGCGCTGGCCTTCCGACTCCACATCTGCGGGCGAGGGTCCAGTGATTGCATCGCCACTCCGGCCAACGGCCCGCCCACCAGCTTTCAGAATCTCGGAGACTTGGTGGGCGAATCAGGTCTCAGCTTCCGGCAAGAGGCCTGGTCCCCGGTCCAGATCGATACCCCTGGCACCTACCGGATTTGCTGGTGTGTGGACGACAGCTACGACCCAGTGAAGTTAGAATCCTATGGTTTCTGCGGCTCTGGGCACCAGTTCTCTGTTCAGGCGGGCCTCATCCTGGTCCAGGGCACCTTTGGGGACCAGTTCTTCTCCTGCAGCGCCTTCCAGTCTTGTCGCCTTCCCGTCCTCTCGGAGCTCAGCTTCGACTTTGAGGACCGGCTCTTGATCGTGGCACCACCCCCAACCTCCACCAACTCCCTGGCCGCCATGTGCGGCAGAGGCACCACCGGCTTGCAGGCCAGGGCAAGTAATTCGATCTGCAGTCATGGGCACGCTCGTTTTTCTGTGTGTCAGAGCCGCTCTCTCTCTCTCTCTCTCTCTCTCTCTCTCTCTTTCTGTCTCTTTCTCTCTCTCTCTCTCTCTTTCTCTCTCTTGTTTTGGTGTCTGATCCAAAGGTCGTTGGTGCGAGGGAGGAAATCGGGAAAGACATCGTGACATCTTTGCACATGGCATCATTCTAACAATCGCGGTTTCTCGAGTGCCTTTTCTTCAGGTACAGTTGGCCAGCACTCGCGGAATTTATCCCACGACAACGCCTCATCCAAATGCAAGTCTCGATGCGTTGCATTTTGTGGGCGAGTTTGACCTAGCTTCAGCGGGCCAAGCAGGCTTATACAGAGTTTGCTACTGTGGCTTGGCACATTCCAGACTTTCTGTGAGACAGACCATAAGACGATGAGAACAATATTTTGGACCCCGAGGTAAAAGCTCAGCAATGGGCCCCTGTGATGATCCTGTGGCCTTCGCGCAGTTTGCTGGAGTTTTGCGGCTCGCGAGAAGTCAGTCACTTCACCGATGCGTGATGTCGAGTTGCTTATGCAGAGAGAGACAGAGACATGCTTTCGATCTGAGGAACATCACTGGGAAGATCGAGTACAACGAAACAAACGGAGTGCACCAGGAGTGTTTGGCCTCCCGTGCTTGCCGCTTCAACATCACGGGCGTTTCTTGGCTCCGGTTGGACGTTGCGCTTGGCCGCTTGGGTTCTGCAAGTGAATGCGGACGCCAGGTTTGGGCGATGCAGCTGAGCTTCCTTGACTCCTTCCGCGCAGTGCCCGATGACTTGGACTGCTCCGACATCTCGGACTCCTCGGCTTACCCCTACTTCAGCTTGCGAACCAGGCCCGGAATTGGCCAGCTCGCGGTTGGCCGTTTTCCCCTTGTTCAACGCACAGGACGCAGCTTCCAGACAGCTGGATGAGTGAGTTCACCCATAAGGACCGACTGAGTTTTTCCCGGACTCGCACGGATGGATCCCCGGACTCGCGAGGCTGGAGCGGAAGATTTCTACTTCACGGGGGACTACAGGCTTTGTTACTGCAACTCGGCAAAAGAAAAGCGGATCAGCCCAGATCGGACTCAAAGGCTGAGGCCCGAGGGCTGTCCAAGCGCGCAGGTCAAGCCTCTTTGACAAGTGATGGCACCTGCGACACCCCCGCGCCTTGGAACAGAGAATCTTGCAGCGTCAAAGCTTCATGTGTGCCGTCCGAGGCAGAGCATTCACAGGAGGTTGGAACCCTTTTCATAGTCGGGGCCATGCCACGAACTCAGCCCTGATCCAAAGCAACAGGGGAGGTTCACTCTGCCCAGGTCAAGGATGGACTGGACCTGCCGCCAAGGGGCACAGTGCAAATTGGTGGCGTGGAGCTCAAAGACGGGATGTCTCGTTCTTTAAACAACGTTTCGAAGCTTTGCCTGTATCTTTGGGTGCAAGGGACACAGTTTTTTACCCATGGGTTGCGCAAGGTGCATGGCTGGCGCGCCACCCAAAACGACTCAGTTCGCCTTGTGGCGCCCTCCTTCCCATGTGGCGCGCCGGACCCGGAGGATTTGGCTCTGGGACAAGGCCGTGGGAAGGTAGGAAGGCTCCAACGCGTGTCCTTTAGGGGGGGGGTTGAGTCAACCCATCCGGCTTCCCTTGGTTTGCCTGTCAAGGCCTAAGGGGGAGGATGCGAGCGTGGCGCGAGGCTTTGATTCCAATCCAGCTGTGGCCAACCGCTCCGACAGCTTGAGCAACGGGGTGCACCCACGGCGGGCATTGCTGTTTGGCTGGTCACTTCACTCATAGATTCGGCAGGTACTTCTTCAGTTCGACCTTGGGAAAGCACGTGGTGCAGGGAAGTGGCGCGTTTGCTTTTGCTGCGGCCTTGAACAAATTATTGCGGAAAACTCTCCAAAAGAAATGCCTTGGCCCTGAGGCGTGTCTGCCCTTGGAGGGTGCTCCAAAGCCTCCGACTTTGCACAGGAGGCACGGCAACACGCCGAGTGCCCAGCGGTCACCACTGGTCAGTCAACCCCGGAAGGCCGGCGAGCTCATCATCGAGGGCTTGCTGCGCTCGGTGACTCCGTGGCCTGGCTGAAGTTCAGAAAGTTCGGAGTCCCGTGAATGTGGGTCCGAATAGCTGGTCAGTTTGACAGGGACATGGGGGCACTCGCGCAAGACCAGGGGACATACCGATTTTTCCTTACCCTTGACAACTTCATATTTTGATTGTGGCTCCGCGTGGAAAGGTCTTCACAACCGGCCACAGTTGCCATGGCAACAGTGCTGGCCAGGTTCTTAGTTGAGCACTGAGAAAGCCTTGAACGTGTTTTGCAGAGGTGGATGTCATTGAGCCAGGGCAGCCAATGGGTGTCACGCACCCAGCCCGACTTGTTAGCAAAGTCTTATCCGAAGTGTGTGGCTCAGGTGGCATGCGCTGCATCCAACCAATCCCTGGACTCAGTGCCTTCCTCATCATTGTGGCACAACCGGGGAATCTCTTTTACGCATCTACCAAAAGCGCTTTCTCTTTTACGCATCTCGCTCCGGCCTTGAGGCGCCCTCCAGCGTTGCGGTCCTGACCTGCCAAGACAGCATTCCTGGATGCCTCGGTCTTACGGTGCTGCCTTGGGGAGCTGACCAGGCCGGGTGCGAGACAAAGCGGGGTCCCTATGAGATCCACTCCATGAGGAGATAAGGAAGGGCCCTTCACGAACCGGTGTCCTTTTGCCTTTACCACGGCCACACCAGCCCAAACCCAACCCAACCCACCGACCAACCACCACACCGCTAATGCAAACGCCGCTACGCCGTATTAAAGGGCACTCTTGGTGCGGCCTGCAGGGCTTCAACGTGCTCCACATCCCTTTCGCCGAAAATGCCCTGGCAGCGGCAGGCAGGGTCGTGCCTGCGTGAGCCAAGTCAAGAGAATGCGTCTCAAAATGGAGTGGATGGGGGTGAATGGGTGGAGTCGCTTGGGTGTTCCTTTGCAACAACCGTAAGAAGGACACACAAGTGTGTTGCAACTAGCGACCCCTTCAATAGCTTGTTGCTAGGGGGTCCTTTCCCTAGCTTTCCCAAGAGAAGGCTTCCACGATTGTGCAATGTGTGGGTTGGATATTTGGTCTTGAAACTGTCAAGAAAATCAATCTCGGAACTTGCATGTGAAAATATGGCAAAGAAACTGTTATTCTCAGGCTCGCCATAATGCTCCTGTGCCGCTAGGATTCGAAGCCCGGGCAGCTCACATTTGGTGCACCGGCGTGCGAAGCTCAGAGTTACCGTCGCTCCCTGCATCCCTTGTTTTGTTTTCCAGCGTCACACCCAAATGAGCTCAAATGAGGCCTATACCAAAATGGAGAAGCCTGCTTGGTCAGGGGTTGAAAGGAAGCCGCATAGCCACACCCGTGTCTTTAGATTTGAGTGGCACGCATTGTGTGCCTCCAAATTCCCATTCAATGGATGAGCCATGTATTGTATGAAAGCCATGACACGGTTTCCAGCCCGAGATCTTGAGGATATTTCCCTCTGCCCCACTGGCCGATGCGTTCTGCCGCCCACTCGGGCAGGGCACCAGCCTCAAATCCGCGCGTTGCGTCGAGTCGAGCTTTGACCCATGAAGGCCTCGGCAACAGGAGTGTTGCCAAAGATGATCATGCTAGAGTTCAGAGTCAATTGAACATGTGAGTGGTAGTCTAAGCAGGGGGCCAGCGCAATTTTCCCATGTTCTCTTGGGGCACAAATGATTCGTCAGTTGCTTTTTTGTGGAAGGCACATAATTCAGGCAAGTCCATTCTGAGTCGGTACCCTAAGTTTCAAGGGAACTAACCAACCCCCGAGTTTGACCATGCCGCGAAGCCCAAATTTAAATCTGAAGCTGTACGGCTTTGGCCAGAGATTGCCTGTGGCAGCTCCTTGGTTTTGCTCGTGTCTTTTCGAGAGTACCTTTTTCAGGGCTGTTCTGAGGGAGACTCCAGAGATAAGGAGGAGCCGATGCCCATTTAATTTGCGGATCCCTTTTCAGTGCTTGCTGATGCTTAAGTCGGAAACATCAGGCAGTGGTCAAGGGGAGGGACTTGAGACGATCCCAGATTGATCCAATTGTAAATTGGGGAACCCTGCAAAATAGGGCCGGTTCTGCTTTGGCATCCCCAAGCCCAACAAGGCACCAACTCGAGGAATAAGAGCCACACCCTTAGATGGGTGTGAACATGTAGTATGTTTGGGCTCTTGAGAGAAACAAGAAGGGGTGGGTATTCTGGGCGATTCCCCGAGAGACGACTCAGGCTTCAGCTGGCTCTAAGCGACGGAGTGGAGCCCTGGACGAGCTTCTCCTCAGCCGTGGGCGAATCCGTGGAGCTGCAGGCTGGCTGAATGCGCTCCCCCAAAACAAAAAACACTCCAGTGAGGGTGTGGCTATGGTTTACCCCGACCCAAGCGGTCTTGGCAGCATTTGTTGCTTGTGCGGAGGTGTTTTCCGTTTGGGGTATTGAATGGCACTTAGTAAACACGGGGGGCTGGGGACTGCTGAGCAAAATGACACCAGGAGTCACGTTCAGGGTGGTTTGGGGGATTCCTGTCCAGCAAACCCACCCCCGGTTTTTTGTGCCAGCGTGTTTGGGCTCTTGGTCTTGCTTGAATCTTCCTCTACAGGAAGCAACCTGAGTTTTGTTTAAGTCAGGTGTTTCATAGGGCCCCAAAGCCCTGGAATGGTGGCGACACCGATAATGACCTGCTTGGTTGATTCTTCTTCTTGCCCACGCTCATGATTTTCTCAGGGAAACCAAGAGTATGCTTAGGCATTCCTATGTTGATTGCCAAATCCTATAGTTCAAGCTGCTTCTGGGCGAAATGAAGCCCAAAAGTGGGGTCTGACCGGACATACACGGGCCTGGCAGGTACAGGGCAACCCTCTGAACGCAGAGGGCGGGTGGCTGAAGATGGTGTGGCCGCAGGATGGTTGCCCCCAGGTGCCGACTGATCGCGCCCAGTCCATAAGACCCAACAAGCTTGGGTACACCAAAAGCCTGGGCAGAAGATAGGGGACAGTCCCTTTCCATACGTTTCGGTCCTATCCCATCAGTTTCGCGTAGACTCCTTTGATACCAGATGTTGCATGGTTTTGATTGCGACTTGCCATACCACCCTTTGGTAGTGAATGACAGAGACCATGCTGGTGTTGATGCACTACCGTAATTAGGTTGCCAAGTGGGGGGTTGTCATTTGTGGGTGTCGATTTGAGACCAAGCCAAGTGGTGCCGGCAGGTGGGGCAGGCATGGGCGGAGCCCATCATCTCCCCCTTCGAGCTGGGGCAGCTACCTGAGAGAGAAGAACTCTGGCGGCGTCAAATCTGGGGTAAACGCAAGCCTGAACCCACATCTGGGGTAAACAAGTCTGGGTGTTTGGGGTTTGGCCGGAGAAAACGCCTTGGACGGGTTGGCAACCACTCCAGGCGTCCAGCGTCCGCGTCCCCGGGAAGCTCTGTTCGCTGGCGCCTGACTGCGCCCTTCGCTGGCCTGCCACGCACTCGTTTTGAAGTCGGCGCACAAAGCTGGCGGAGTCACTTGTGGAGCTCAGGTTTTGGCTTTGCTGGCGGGGCTGGCATGGTTTGAAGGGACCCAAATTCGAATGCAGTCGAGGTTCCTTCGATACAATCATGAATGCATTGGTTTGCCTGACAGGTGTGACCGCTCCTACGGGGCGGACTGTGCCTTGTGGCAGCACGTGGGGGAGTTGGTCATTGCGGGCCCCATCAATGTCGAAGCCTCGAATCGATCGGCGGAGCTTCAGAGCGGAGTGGTTGCCATGGGCAGGTGAGCGGCATTCCACCAGCAGTGGAACCATCGGAGGCGGTGGCTTCGGGGCAAGGAGTCCTTCCGAAAAGTCACCTGTTCTGCAGGAGTTCAACATCACAATGACGGGCGTGAATCTGACATCAGAGGCCTAAGCTCTCGCCTGAGGAATTGCTGCGTCTCCTTCCGCCAGACCGTCAGGAGCGTATCTCTCTGCATCCTGGTATGGAATGCACCGAAGACGTGCCCATGGTGGGCCCCTGCAAAGCTGCAGCCTGAGCTGCCACGTTGCCCCAAACCAACGAAGCAGAGCTTGAGCTGCATTCCAGCGCTTTTCAGGAATGAGGGCAAATGAGTTTCAGAAGAGATGTTTCCTTGGCAGGTGTTTGCTGGCTTGACACGCGCTGACTTTCAAGTACAAGCGCCCCAGCAAGCAGGGTACTACACCGTGTGCTGGACAAGAGGCTTGCCGAATGCCTGCTTCATTTGACACACGGAACTCCTGTGGAGACTCATGCTTGGACTTAAACGGCTTTGTGTCAAACCAGGCACCCGGATGGCGATCCTGTTGCGTTTTAAAGGAAAGGAAAAAAATGCAAAGCCGTGGACACCGGTGCAAGGTGAGGGATTGTGGGGGAGTGCACGGAGCTCCGAAGGGTGCCCGTTTCCAGGCAACGAGTCCTCGGAGTCTCGGAAGATGGGGGCCGGCTTTGCCAGAGAGTCCCCAGCTCGGTTCGGTTCCTTGAGCGGCATGGCACCTCCCTCTGCTCAGGTCCAGAGACTGTATTCTCGCAGGCATGGCCTTGTGCCTTGAATTTTGGGGGTCAACGGGAGCACAAGGGAAGTAGAAACCGCCCGTTCCGCAAAAACCCAAGCAAAGGAGCCACGAGCCTGACAGTCAGACCTCTCACGTCAACGCGTCAAAGTGCCATGCAACTTTTCTTTGGTAATTTGTGTTTGGCTTTCGCCAGGATGGGAGTACGCTCCATCTTCAGACAGCTACCCATTCCCGGCAGGCCCTGTCAACTCATGTGAGTCGCTGACAAAACCTGACTTCGACGAGGTGATGGCCAGGCTTGCAGCAGAGAATGCGGTGGTGGCTTCTACGAGCTTCGCCGGCGCATCATTGCACAGGCATGGTCCGAAGCCTCAAGTGAGGGACATTTTGTTTTTCCCGCTGCAGCAAAAATGTCTAGAGGTGGGCATGGTGGACATATCAACAGAAAAGGTTACACCACACTGCAGTCGCGGAAGGTTCGTGGAAGGTTTTTTGCCCGCGGAAGGGACGTGGTTGATTTGCTCTTCCAGATTCCAAATATTGCGTTGAAGCTCTTTGCAGAATAGCAAATCGTGCACACGAATTCCCTGGCAGAAGCTACCTTCCTCAATTTCCAGAAGCAACGTGTTATCGCGGAAGACCTGCGGAAGTACTACCTTTTACACCGCGGAAGCCTTTGGGATACATCCGTTCAAATTTGAAGGGAATAAGACCACCGAACCTCCACTCAAGTCTTCAGCTTGAGTTCGGTGTTTTTGTTTTTTTCCGATGGGTTTTGTGAGGCTGTGGGAGGCGGCCTACCCTGTCCAGCGCCGGGTGCTCAGACCGATCAAGACAGGCAGTGGTACGTGGCACCACTCAGGGCAGACAGCGTGGAACGCAGCCGCTTCCGCCCCTGCAACGAGCACTCGTGCCCTGAGGTCGGGAATTGTAAATTGCACAGCACCAAAGTTGATAGAAGCAGGAAGCAAATAAGCAAACAGATGCCAGGCTCAGGCGTTCAATGCCTTCACCCAGCCTTCCTGGGTGCGTCCTGGCGACTTCTTTCAGGCAGGCCTCAATAACGCCTTTTTCGTGCCTTCGAAAGGCACCTGGGCTCAGGTCATCGTCAACGGTACAGACTTTGATCCCAGCGAGGACGGATTTCCAAGGCTTCAGCTGACATGACATAGACGTCCACGCTGATCTGCAAGACCACGCCCCCTGGGCAACGTCTCGCGGAGGATCGCATGGTTCTGGTCACCGGCGGAGAGTCCGTGCTTTGCGGTGAGGCGCACGTTCCCGCATTCGCCAGGTTCTGGGAAGCAACAGAGAAAGTGAGGGAGAGAGAGTTGTCCCATTTCCGGTACATCAAGGTTTTGGATTGGCACCGGTGAAGACGAACAGCGCACATTTCGGTGAGTCGCATTTCTGGCCTCAACCCGACTTTCTGAGAGGTCACAAACCGCACAGATGCAGGCCTGGTTTTGCCAGTGTCCTCATGTTTGATTTGAAACACCCACATAATGGCTAAATTGTGGCATGGATGGTTGTCCCTCTGGCCAGGTATCTTCAACATGTCAAATGTCACTGGAATGCCGGGGCGCCCGGACAATTGATTATGTTTGTTCAATCTGCAGCTGGCAGCCTTGACTAGCCTCAACTGACACTAGGAACATTTCAGAGTCTGAGTCGGTGGTTCTGCGAGGTGGAGGCCCGCCAAGTGACAACGGGCATCGCATGGAGTCTGCCTTTTCACCGTAAGGCGCTTCTTGCTCGCAGCCTGCAAGCAACAGCACTTATTTGGAGCCGCTTGGCCCAATATGAGTTCCACCTTGGACGCATTTTCTTCGACCATCATCGAACGGTTCGAGGTGCGGAGATGGCGTTGCAAGCTTGCACCTGACCCTGGCTGGCGCATACCGTGCCTTGGCTCGACTGGGCAGCAAATCTGGGTGATCCTTTATGAAGCCACCCCACAGAGAGGCCTTGTCGCTATGCCAGGTCTCTGCATTTGCGATGCTTCTGCCGTGAACATCGACTACATCAATGTGTCAGGCGAGCCCTGCGAAGATGTTTAGATTGGCTTTCGGCTGGGCCATCTAGGCTCCATCCTGGCCAGCCGCGAGCGCTGTAGTCGGCTAGAAGACTACAAGGTGATGCCAAGTGACGAAGCCGCAAGTGAACTGCGGTAGCAATGAATCAAAAGCATTCAAAAGCCGTATTCGAATTTGACGTGCTTCGAGGCAATGGATCCCTGGTTCACATTACGTACACGGATGTGCAGGAGGAGGAAACGATACGGAATTCGGCGGATACGACGAGAGGTGAATGTGTTGAGCCAGGAGTCAAAGAATGTGGTGGATGCCGCTTTGGGCGTTCTCGGGATTAATGGCTTCGCAGAGGATGGCAAAAGCAGGACAGCGTTTGAATGTGCGCATGTTGCTCCTGCGAAGTTCACGCCAGAGTCGCCATTGTAGTGCGGCAATCCGTGCAAGACTGCTGTTACAGTCGCTGGAATTAGAACATGGCGTGTTTGCACATGACACCCTTCTTCCATACAGCCTTTTTTGGTTTGTGATGTGCCTCTGCGTTCGATATTTGAATTGATTCCTCAAGCATGCAATGGGCGAACAGCTGCCTGAGCCTTACGTGTTTTTCCTTTTTTCGGAAAAGCCGGCTTGGGGGTCTCCTGTGTACGGGCCCTGCAAAATGATTGATTTTGTTTGAAGCTTCTCTTGAAGCCATCAAGGAAAGGTTTCCACTTTTGGAAAGGCCCGTATCATCTTCCCTCTCTTCTTCTTGGTTTCGTTTGGTATCTCCTTCCTCCTTTCTACTGTCTCCTTTCCCCCGCCCCGCCAGACCGGATCGAGGCTTGCTTCGGTTGAGCGTCAGCGTCGAACAGACTATACCACGAGGTCCAGTGCATTAACGTCCTGATTGGACCCCAACGAACAGTTGATTCGACATTCAACGCTTTGCTTCTTTTTGTATCTAACCGGGAAGCCACAGTTTCAAGAAGCTTCGCTTTGCTGGGGAGCACAGCAAAGCATAGGAATGATATCTTGCTGATCCTGGGGCTGATTGGAGCCGCTGCTTTGTGCGCCCAACTAGGGATCCGGAGTCTCCATGACCCTCAGCGTCTCAGGTACTGCTGCGCAGTCTTTTGTGCCTGCTGGTTCTGGCGGTATAGGCAAGGCCACAGAAAAACATAGTCCATTCAGAGAACTAGCAAAGCAGCTGCAGCGGCTATAGCAGGCCAATAGTGACCATTTAAACTTAGGGCCATGGCCTTCCCACAGATGCCCTTCTGGCATTGGCTTTGAATCGGAAAAACTAAGCACAGCGGCCTGTCTTGGCAGGTGGAGGAAGCGAGGAGATTGGCGCAGGAGCTGAAATGTCTGGGTAGCATTGGCTATGAACTCAACGCAGAGAACCCTTACAAATGATTGGAGGAGATACATCCCTGGGCAATCAAATGATGTTCACGAAAGGCTCCTCAATTGAAATCATGCGTCCCAAAGACGAACAGGGACATGAAGGGACTTTCGCAGGTGACCCATGCTGAAAGTTGAAGCGAGCGCTAACGTAGCTAGTCACCCTTTTGTCTACCCCACACCGAGCACCCTTAGCTAAACTGTAGCTACGTCATTGCTTCAAACGAACATGTCTTGTGAGCCACCTCAGGGTATGGAAGCTGCAAACAGTTTCGGCAGAGCTGGCATGTGAGCTTTGCTGATTCCGTTTCTGGAGGAATGTTCCGAAGATGTTTGCCAATACATTAGCAGCTCGTCGGCACTGTGACTCTCTGATTTGCCTTGATACCACGACCTCATGACCAGGTTGCCAAAGCAACGCGAGCAGCCTGGGAGGCTTGTTGCTTGTCAGTGGTGCCATTCACGGCCTGCGGAATCTGCATGGCGCAGGCGTACTCGCGCGCAGTTACAGAGCAAACGTGGTGGTCTCAGTAAATCGGTGGCCGGATGACATGGACTCGCCTTGCACATCTCGCCTCAGAGATTCAGGTCAGATGATGATGCAAAGGATGCAGTAGAAAGTGGGGAGCCTGTTCAAGCGCCCCTCACTGACCTCATGTCGTTTCAGGCAAGCTGCTTGTTGGACGAATGCTTGATACCTTCATTGCCTGACATTGCCTGACAGGCAGGGTCGCTCACCCCTCCTGGAACTGGGGTGTCATTGAAGAGTGGCAGCTCTGCATTCAGCTCTTCTACAAGCAGCACCAGAGCAACGACACCAGGCGGACGGCAATATGATAGAGAAGCAAACTGTTCTCTTTGCCAAGGCAACCATCCTTCGCTGCTCAAGGCCCGGATTCAGAGAACTCGCAGGGACCCTGTGATTGGTCTCACGGCCGTTCCGCAGGTGTCCCTGCAGAAGGACGTGCACCGGCCCGTGTCTCCGAAGATGGGGGGCTCCTTCTTGGACTTGCCGCTGGCAGGTCGAGGCATCGCCGGAAAACCGTCACACGGACCCGAAGAAACGTGGAAGCTCCTGTTCGGACCAGGATCCTCTCAAAGAAGTCGGTTTCGTGTAGGAATGTACGTGTGTCCCTATGGAAACCTTTGGAGAGATTATCCACTTTCCGGGGACGCCCTTGGGTTGCTGACCTTCAAGGTGAGAATGCTTTGAGTTGGACAGGCCGCTGGTCTTCATACGCCCAAGCACAGTGCATCAGTAGGCAGACTCTTGGTGGTTATGAGAGGCACTCCGAACTGAAAAACAGAGGTGCTTGTCATGTTAGATGCTGAGAGAGTAACTTTACACTGACTGTAATCTCTTCTTCTCATTCAATATCGGCAGGCAATTTATCAATTTGTCACTAGTCCAAAGGGGGCCCAATTCCGCTTCGGCCCCTTTGCTCTGCAAAAGCATGTTCATCAGAGTCTTGCTCTCAAGTTAAGCATTGGAATCGTTCAAGTTGCACGAGCTTTAGAGGGCTCTGTCATGACTTGAATTCTGGTTGGAGGGTTATTTATTTTTCGTGGGACCCCCCCCCTTTTGGTTTCCCTTTAAAATCACAAACAAGAATGTACCCTCCGAAAAGGATACACCTGATAAAGTCGGATTTGGAGGCTTGGTGATGATGACGCTGTTCTGGTGTGAAGCTTGCTTGGTGCTTCAAATGTCGGGTTGACAATTGGATCTGTTCGGGGTCGGAGGCACCAAATCAACGGCCAACAGCCCATCGAGACCCGGCACTGCTGCCACTGCGATTAGCATCTCCGAAGAGCCTGCAGAGCTGAAAGGCTGCTTGTCGCAGACAAGTTCCAGTGTGGTTCTTATAGGGAGTTTAGACCAATTCAATCCGACCATGGGTTTCGAGGATCATGGATTTTTTGGAAAACTACGACCAACATCCCTAGACCACCCAACTCCACGAACGGTTCCATTCGCTTGTCGCAATTCGATTCGACATGACGCGACGGGCCCAAGGATCGGAGGTGAAGCAGGCCACTTCTCCGAAGTCGGGGAAGAGCTCCTGCGCCTTTGATGCCTTGGCAGAGTCGACGGACGGAGTTCGCGCTGACGTTGCACGCTGGCTGCTCAGCCGAGGTGCCGGTACCCCACCAGAAGCAGAGGACCTTCAAAAGCCGGGAGTCGAGCGACGGATGCCGACGGATGCCGACGGATGCCGACGGATGCCGACGGATGCCGATGGATGCCGACGGATGCCGACGGATGCCGACGGATGCCGACGGATGCCGACGGATGCCGACGGATGCCGACGGATGACGGTATATCGGATGCCGACGGATGCCGACGGATGCCGACGGATGCCGACGGATGCCGACGGATGCCGACGGATGACGGTATATCGGATGCCGACGGATGACGGTATATCGGATGCCAGGATGCCTCGCCCAAGAGAGCTCCACCTCCCAGGTCTTCCAGGTCCGAGCCAGGGCTGGAAATGCAGCTCCCCGGCTTGCAGCGCAAGCTGGCGAAGCTCAAGGAGGCCAGAGCTGCCAGAGAAACATGCAGACCAAACATGAATCGATTTAAGTTGGAGAAGATGTTCGATTTAAAGAGGAAATCACTTTGTGGATTTGGATTTGAAGCCTAAAGTTTATTAAAGGGTTTCTTTAGGGGGATGAGACCCAAACCTGTGCAGGAACAATCTGAGAGCTCGGATGAGAGCCCGCAGGTGGGGACGGAAGCCAAGGTTGAGAAATGCTGGGGTTGGACGACTCAATTTTCCCACAACCAGGCCGAGGGGCCACCCGTTCACGTCACTGAGGTACCTACAAAAAGTCTGGTGCCGGCACCACCTGCGATGGCGCCTCCCTCTTTGCCAGGCAGGAGCTTTAGCAGGGAAGGAGTCCCATTTCGGTCTGAACTTAGCTTGGCTTGGCTCTTGTTTAGCCATTCCCTGGACGTTTGTTGGATAGCTAGTCCAGAAGCTGGAGACTAATCTGGGCGAGCAAGTTCGAGCGTACACGCACGCACTTGCAGGTCAAGCGGAAGCAGAGCAAGTCAGCAAGGAGGTGAGCCAGCAGGCAATTCGGCTTTGGTTGCTGGCTCCAACTTGTCTCTTCCAATTTCAAGCTGAGGCAACGGCAACGTCTCCACGTCCTTCGGAGGCCAGAAATTGAGTACCGGAGGAAGCTTCGCCTTTCTGCAGCAGCATTTGTCCCAGGTGCCCAAAGCACCTCTGAAAGTACCGGCGCAGCGAGCTCAGAGCGAGTGACTGGGATCAGAGAGTTGGATTCAGCGCAGGTTGACGATGCTCCGACCGTTGCCACCGCCTCCTGCGAGACTCAAGACAGAGGCGTTGCAAGATGTGGCGGTGCCTGCCATTCAAGCCCCAACATGAAAGACTGGTTCAAAATTGCCGCATGCTGCAAGGCGGAGGCATCGAACGCACCAAGTGAGGCGGGTCATCTCCCGAGTTCTGTGCCGTCCCGAACCGCCTTGGCGCAGGGGTTGGAGAAATAGAAAGAGGATAATTTACAAAATGGTGGCCCTCAACAAACAAAACCCATGTTTCCCGCTCTCTCGCGTTTCTCCATGAAGGTTGTCATTTATATAAAGTGTCCGCCGCAAGGTCCTTGCAAGAAGCCTGAGAGTCAAACGTTTCCAGGAGCAAGCTCAGGTGGGCAAATGAGCGACAAATTGAAGAAGTGACAACAAGTACCATTCTATATGGATCAAACAATGTCCACGCTGGCCACAGATTTGGAACGTCCAAACTTGGCCGACCATGAGCAGGTTTGGGCGCAACGCAGAGCGCAACAGCACAAATTTGACAACCACGGGCGTGGTCAAGCCTCACAATGAGCCAACATTTGCTCAGGGACCCAATGCTTAGGCTCAAATGCCTGCTTTGCGCCTGTCACAGTCGCATGCTTGACCCTGCCGGCCGAAGCTGGCGCCTAAGAGCGACTTTCAGGTAGGCGCGTTTCGTGCATGCGAAATACATCATGCTTCTGTCCAAAGAAAACTCTCCAAAAGCTTACGAGCAGATTGTGTGTTCGCAGGCCCACTATAATTCTCCACCCGACCTAACGCACCTCACAATCACAGTTCTTTTGGGGCACTCAGGCCATGTTTGTTGCCGTCCTAGTCCCCCGCCCCTCCCTCTGCTAGCTCAAGCAACAGCAAGATCAAAAAACACGCCCTACACCAACCCATGCAGCTAAGTGCAAACCCTGCCTCCCATCCCAGGCTCCGAATTTAGCGTGTGTCATTCGTCCTGCCAGCGCGCAGCTTGTGAAAGCCCTTCCTTGTGAAGGACTCTTGACGGAGCTACTATCGTCAAATCCCAAAGCAGCACCGATGACGTCTCTCAGTTTTGACACGACCCCGCAAGTGGCCCGCCCCAGTGCTATGCCAACCCGAACCCAACCACCCCAATCCTCTACATCCTTTGCATCCTCTACCTTCAGCCAGCGGCCTGCAAGCACCTAGCTGAAGGCAAGCTCAAAGCTCTGAGCGCCGAACTCAGCTCAAGTCCAACCCTAGTTCCCAGAAGCCGAGATAAAACAGCTCCAACCAAACTATCCCTTTTCGGCTGTTGGTTCCAGGTTTGAACATGTTTTAATCCAAACAATATGCTGGTCCCAGCCTCTGCCCAAAAGGTGCAATATGCTCCACGCCTGCTGAATGCTGCCTGTGAGAGTCCAGAGGACAAGATGGAGCTGCCAAAGACGGAGGAGGAGCCATCTAAGGAGACAGAAAGTGAAGGTGCAGAGCACGAACAGGAATTAGAGAGAAGAGAGGAGGAGAAGGAGGAGACAGCGGCCGAGGAGAAGGTGGTAGAGGAGGTGGAGGAGAAGGCAGAGGAGAAGGTGGAAGAGAAGTTGGAAGAGAAGTTGGAAGAAAAGGCACAGGAGAAGGTGGAGGAGAAGATAGAGGAAATTACGGAGGAGAAGATAGAGGAGAAGGTGGAGGAGCAGGTGGAGGAGAAGATAGAGGAGAAAGCGGAGGAGAAGGAAGTGAAAAAGGAAGCAGAGCAAGGGGAAAAAGAGGAGAAAGAAGGGAAGGATGAGACGGCGTCTGAGTCCACGCCAAAGTCCATGGAGAAGGTTCGCTCCAGATCTTGGGTGCAGAAACAGATGTGCTTTCTTGCAGGGTGGATCTTCACCTCCAAAGTTTTCCTCATGGCTCACGGACATGAGGCCGACAGGTGTGGTGGCTCTCCTATTACTTGCTGTTGGCTGTAGGTCTCGGGTCTCAAACAAGAGCACTGCCGAGACAAAGGCCGGCTGGCAAGTTGTGCTGCCGCTAGCAACCGAAAAGAAGCTGTCGCAGATTGCTCCGCCTCCGCCACCCTCCAAGAGGTTTGCCTCGCCGGCATGTAGTTCATCGGGTTTTGAAGTTGCAAGACACATCGGCCGCATCTTGAAAGTTGTCAGCATCCCATCGCCAGCGTCCAACTCGGTTCGCCACGCTCGGCGTTTTTTGCACGCCAGGCACCCTCCGGAGCACTTTCGGCGGGCAGAAGTGACCTACAAGTAGCCAAGGCGCCTTTCCAGGTGAGTGTGTGATTGATGCCAAGCAGATGTGTTTGAGCATTTGATATGGATTGATCCTTGGCACACCGGGCACTTGAAGGAGAAGAATGCAAAAGAAGTGGACTCTCCAGGGCTCATCAGGTTGGCCAGTGCACCTCTCGCACCTGCCATCCGCTTCTCAGTGAGGTCGCGTCCGCAGCTGCCGGAACTTTCGCGACTTCAATGTCAAGGCTTGGATCCTCCCGGTTGAGAGTACACCTTTTCACAACTAGGTTTGCGGTTTCTTTGAGGGTACTCTGTTCCTTGTGGGTTTATATAAAGAGAACCCAAAGAGAAAGCCCGAGCTATGGTTTTGGTCGCGCTTATTTTGACCAACCCAGATGGAACTGGCAGGAAGTTCCAGCCAGCCGGACACTCCGACAGCAGAGGTGGCGGCACCGATGCCTCCAGGCACAGAGTCGTCCGAAACGTTGGTGGAAGTCTGGCTGTCTCAATATGGGGTGTGTCTTTTTGTAGGGAACCCACAAAATGGTGATCTTCCTGTTAACCCTTTGAAACCACAAACTAAAAAGGTACCCTCCAAAAATGGTGAGCCCACTTGAGCACCCCAAAAACAGCTGGTTTCAATGCTTAGTTAGAAGTGGGTTTAGTGTTGCAAACCAAAGGAGGACCCACCTGCCCTTTCCCACTTTCGGTTCGGCCAGGGGACCAGACAGAGACGGTCGCATTGGAGGCCGAGAGCCCAGATTTCGGAGTTCCCTTTGGCTAACTTTAGCTTCAAGTGAAGGTGCGAGTGACTTTGTGTTTGTGTTGAAGCTTTCAGGTGCCCTTTTCGGGCCGCTCAGGCGCAGGTGGCCGAGTCCAAATCCAAGCCCCCTGACTTCAGCGTGGCTGGGCACGGAACCAAGAAGGCGTGTCAAGTCGTACAACGCGCTGAGTCTGAGTGTGCAGGCTTTGAGCTCAAAAATAGAGATAGAAGCAACACAAATGCAAAGGTAAGCTTGCAATGGAATTTTCAGCTTAGCAAGAAAGGCCCCAGAAGTCAGTAGAAAGTGATTCAGTTCACAGAATTTGCAGAGATCCAGCCTGGCCTAGCCACACCATGATGTCCAAGAGCCTTGGCTGAACATGTTCGGTTTTTCGCGACCGGAATATTGAATCAGATACCCAACAGTTTGTGGTTGGATTTGGCTTTGACCCCCTAGTTCTTGAGGAAAAAAATTGGAAACCACCCGTTAGCCACCAAACCAGCAATCCAAGCCACCAATCAGAGAGAAGCTGACTGTGTGCCATCGAATTGGGGGCTCGAGGATCATGGGCAGCTGGAAGGGGTGCCTTGAACTGAAATTCGTCTCAGCTGTCAATGCGCATGCCGCGCCACGCACATGCAGGAAGCCGACGCCAGAGGCTACACCTTCGGTATCCTCTCCAGTGGATGCTGTCATTCTTGAGGAGCGGTTGCAGGGACTCTTGTGGTTACACTTTCTCAGCCAAGAGTCGAATGCCCAAACAATGTTTGAACGATTTGATTTGGTCTGGCCACAAAATCCAGAAGCTGCCATCTGAGGGCTTTGGACTCACAGAACTTCCTCAGACGTTGTTACCACAGAGATCCCGATTTGTTGTCACAATTTAGGAAGAATCGGGCAGTGCCAATCAATCCTTAATCCCCAATGCAAATTTGAGGCTCGTCCTTGGCTTCAGGACGCAGATGATTCTTTTGCAGATGGACGAGTGCTGCATGTTGGAGAGGCCCCGAGTTTTCCACGTCACAGCTACATGGGGTCGATCCAGCCTTTCAGGACGGCGTGCCAACTTCTTAGTTTCGCTGATGCCGCTTCCAAACGCTTCGGAGCAACTGCGTTTGAGGTTGGATATGGGTGAGCAGGACCACGTTTGTGGAGCAGATCAGGAAGTGATCGAGGCATTGCCAAAGTTGAACTTTGATTGTGCTGAGCTGCTTGGTTGCATGGTTCAATGCGCATGTAATCATGTAATCTTGCCATGAGATCTGAATCAAGGAGCATCCACAACCAGAGCGTTTGCTCCATTTGCCAGGCTGGGAACTGCGATAAGGTTTCAAAGTTTTGAGCGCTGCACTGCAGGACGCCTTCTCCCGTGACCAAGCACTGAAGATGCTGCCCTGCAAGCACGCCTTTCATGGAGGCGCTTTTGGCAGTGGACATGTGGCTCGGGAAGAGGGTGGGGTTTGCATGTTTTGTTTCAGGGTGCCTTTTTCTGGCCGGTTGAAGCGGACACCACGAGAAAGGTCCCCTATGTTGATGCATGCCCAGTTCTGCTTTGGCCCAGGCTGTATAGACGAATGGCTCAGCGTGAGCTGCCAATGTCCTGTTTGCCAAGTGGCCCTCCAGTGAGCGAAATGGTGGGCGTTTGGATCCAGGGCGGTCTTACAGCTGCTATGCAGCTGTTACAGCGGAAATGATCCCCTCCGCTTCAGAATTGAAGCCGGAGCCAGGGCGAGTTCCGAATCTCGAGAGAAGGAGTGTGCGCATATGGTTGCGTAGTGATGTCAAGTGCTCGGTGCTGTGCATTTGCCACTGAGTTCACTTTGAGGCGCGCAGCCTTGCCCACGGGCAATTGGGAAGATGCTCAGGAAAAGCTCCGCCAGGAAGGGATTTGCTCATGGCATCCCCCAAGCGCCATCTCTCTGGGTAAGGCAAGGGCATGCAGGAGGCATGAATAAAAGGCAAAAAGGCAAGCCAAGAAGCAACATGAAGCAACCATTTTGAGAAGGGGTCCGATTACTGCAGGAGTGGCACCAGAAGCTGGCTGCGGGTGTCGATGAGAATGAGAAGCCACGGCGCGGCAAGGCATGGCACACCGGAAGTCAGGGCCCCTTCTCACTTCCCCCAGTTGGATTGTCTGAAACTGGCTCCCCCAGAAGTAGTCAAAACGAGACCCGGCGACGCTTTGTGCCGCCATTCAAAGGCTTGTTTTGTTTCGCAGCTTCAAGCCAGGTGGCAGCTGCCCGAGATAAGCCTAAGGTCTCAACCGACTATGAGTCACAGCATCGATTCTTCAAAATTGTCCCGGAAGATTCGATATATACCTGAACATGTATTCAAAGCACCGATAACCATTTCTTGTGTGTTTTAAGACCATGATCGTTTCCGCATAAAGGGCACCACCCAACAAAGCAGGTGGTTTTCCTTTGAAACTGTCCAAAGCAAAGGTGAATTGCTTCCTGTAGCACTGTATCCACGGAGGCCGGACTTATCGACTTGGCCAGGCCTCACTCCGTGGAGCTGCCAATGGGCCCCGGGCCTTAGCGAGTTGCAAGTTGCGGTGTTGGGACGCCCCATGGCTGGCTTGCTGCTCATAAATGGGCTCTCATGCGACCAAGAGGAGGCATTCTCTGGGCTTCATCATGTGTTGGCTCTGAGGCGATCTCAAAGACCAGGAGCCTCTTTGCGGGGCTCTGCCACGGCCAGCGCGGCCGGAAGTCAAGCCGGCAGCCGAGGCCTCAGTTGGGATGCTGATGCTGTGTCGACCAAAAGGAGGATTGACACATGCCCCAGAAGCGAAGAAACGAGTGTTTGAACCGTGGCATCAGGTGGAGACAGCCTAGGGCCCCACCTTTCACCTTGCTTCGCCTTGAGGTATGGCGCCCTCCCGCGCCTCCCAGTCGCCCGTCACCTCGCCCAGGCCGCGAGTCGCGAGTCGCAAGTCGCGACGTCGCCGCATCGCAGGACCGACCCCCCCCCGGCGCCCGCGCCGGCGCCGGGCCTTGGCCCCACCCTGGGCCCCACGGGCCCCATGGGCCCCGGCCCTCCACTGCCGGGGTCGCCACCCGGGCCACCTGGGCCACGGCCACCGCGGCCCGGCCAACCCCAGTCGCGCTTAGCGCCGAACTGGGCGTTTTGAATGACTTCAGTTCCTTTGATCCGTTTGATCCGTTCGAAATGTGTTTCCCAAACACATTCAAGTTGTACATGTGCCTTTGTTTGGAACCAAATACAGCAGTGTACCCAGTGTACGTGTATGCAGAGCCTGCTAATGCAGTTCTTTGCGCAACCAATTCCGTGCTTTGCGAGAAAACTGGTGCGAAGCTTCTCGGATTGCTGAGAAGCACGTGGCGAGTCCTTGAAAACAGCACCTTGCGTTTGGCAGTTCGACTACTTGGCTCCAATCAGCTGAACAAATCGTGCCAGCTTCCAGAGTCACAATCTGAATCAGATAGCATGAACTACCACGCGCGAGGCAAACTCCCCTAAGTCCCCAGACCGAGCACCCACAATCTCCCAGGCACACAGGGATTGGAGAATTGATTTAAGGGGTTGCTCCCACCCAATTTTCTTGGGCGCGCCTTGGTGGCAATAAAGGCATGCACTCCCAGAGGTTAAAGAAATGCATGTCACTCGGCATGCTGAGGTCTCCCGGAATGACAGGCGTTGAGGCTCCGGATGCAGAAGAGTTGCTCATGCAAGTTCATCAAGTTGAGTAAGTTGACCTGCACAATGTGAAGATTTGCGAAAACATGGTAGTTAACACCTGCAATTCCAGGCAGTTGTCAAGCGACCGAGCTGGCATCCCAGCGTTTCCGGCACAGAGACGGGATGTTGGATGTTGCATTCCGGATGCGTGCTGAGGTCTGAGAAAGCGCTCTGCAGGCCTGTGCCATTCTTTCCAGTTCCCAATGGTGTTCCATATCATAATATGGTTTCCCAATACGGCTGTCGGGTGAATGGATTGCTTTCTGCTTAATTGGCCTTGCTTGTATGTCTTGCCAGGTGAGGATATCCAAGTGTTGCAGCGGAGGCTGTCATGGAAAGGGGCCCAGGCCTGAGACCTGCCGCCATGTCCGTGATGGATCTCGAATAGAACACGGAGATGCCGTCCGGGAGGGAAAATCGAAAGAGAACTCAGTTTCGACAGGGCCATGGATCACCGAATCGAGAGGGAGACACAGAGAGGGAAAGCGAGGGAGAGGGGAGAGGAAGAGGGAGGGAGAGATCGCGCTGAGGACAAAGAGAATACTTCCAGGTGCGAGTTGCCCCTGTTGAATGAGTCTTTCCTGCATTTTCAGCGAATGATGCCATTGCAGGGAAGTTGCATTTGGCTCCGCACTGAGTGGGATTGCAAAAATCTGATGACATGTGAAAGTGTGAAAGTAGTAAACAAACGACTAGAAAACTATTGGAGAATGGGCGTTATCAAAATCGATTGTCGCGGGGGACGTCATGAATATCCATGACCGCAGCCATGGATTCCAATTAGGAGGGCGTCCTCCAAGCATCGACCAAAGCAGGACTGCAATTGGGCCACCACTGGAACCCCAATCTATGCTTTCCGCCCACGACTTTGTCAGAACAGTGAGGCCTTTTGCCAGCGCTTCGGAGCAAGAGAAGCACTCACCACCAAGAGTTCGTTTTCTGTTGCTGAGTTTCCATACTGGGACCCTAGTCGGAGCTTAGCCCTCCAAAGCCCAGAACACTGGCCCTGCGCAGTGTTTTGCACTTGCGGCCAACTGGTCCCGACGGGTGTTGGGGCTGGTCACATGGATTGCGTACTGGTAGTTGCAGGCATGCTCCACTTCTTTGAACCGACAGGATACAGCCGCTGGACAGAATCACTGACCAGCGGTCTGCGCCATCCAAGGCGGCGTTCCCTTTTAATACGCGGCTAGATTTGCCGGCAAGATGCGCAGGTGGATCATTTTCACATCGCCAACTCCTTCCAGCAGGGTGGAAAGCTCAGCAGACACGAGCAAGACTCACATTGCATCTCGCTTGGAATCTTAGGCTTAGACAACGTTGAGCAGGTCATCATTTATGTCCAGAACCTGATTGAGCTTCAATTGCCGTGGCTACCGCACCGTGTCTCAGGATCCAGACCACCCAGACTCCGACACAGAGGACGATGGCAAAGTCACCGCCCATCTCTCAGGGCGCATCGGCGCACCGCGCTGCGTTGGCCGAGATCTCAGGTCTTGTCTTGGCGCCAGGCACTGCGGGGGTTCCCAGCCGCGCAACGAAGCTTATTACTATGAATGTTGGACACTAGTAGATTATTCGACTTTAGGTCACTGCCTCTGTCTTTGAGGATCAAACAATTCTACAGCTTCTGCCGCGCCATTTTTCATTGCTCCTTGGCAGCAGCTTTAGCACGCGGCTTCATGTGGTTTCAGCGACACCTGAGGTCATTCGTGTTTACGTTTCTGACAGCGGCTACGGCCACATCATGTTGTAAATTGCGTACCAAGAACGACACTAATTAAGCGAACGATACAGAATAATTACACAATATTATGGTCATTGTATTTTTTTGATACGTTTACAATAATTTTGCCAAGATGCGTGAATGTTGCTGTAGTAATGTACACAACTAAAAATAGAGAAGAATCAAGTGGCATTGGCTGCTCTATGCTTCAACAATTGCCAGCATGAGCAGCCCTCTATTTCAGCGTTGCATTGCTCTGGGTCCTTAGGCTGTCTTTGGGGAGATGTTTACGCTTGCGAACAACTGCACTTCCAATTTGTGCTGCCGTGCTTCGGGCGTTTGCGCTCTCTTCTCATTTGATGTAATATTGCTGACAGAGTTGACCTGTCTTTCGTTGCCGGTTTTACCCCTTCCTTTCCCCCCTGCTCTTGACTTGGGATGGCCTCGTTTTGGGAATCTTGCACCAGCATAGAGCCCAAGCGGATCGTGTGCTTCATAGCACATCTGAAACAAAATACACTTACAAGTTTGTAACTTACAAGTTAGATTGCCAGGTATTCATTTTGTTTGAACATGTGCAATGTATGCATTCTTTCTAGATTGAATATATATATATATATGTATGATATATTTTCTATATACAGTCTAATACTATATATATATATATATGTATATATATATATGTTTTTATCATACATAGATATATATATATATATATTTAATCTATGTGACAGGATTGGCTTAGTCCGCTCCTAGTGCCTGAAAGGCAGTCGTCGAAAGCCATTCGCGATGTGTCCGAAACAACGGAACACATGACGAAGGGCCTTGAGTGCCTCGAACGTGATACTTGCTTGACTTGTTTGTTTCGGTATGTTGAAACTTTGCTTGACTGACGGGAGGATTCCTTCGGCTCGTCTCACTGGATTAGGTGGCCAGGGTTAAGACGGTTAAGAGCAGAACCCCTAAACCCAGAGACATCCCATGGACTCGCGACAAACCCCATGAACGCACACGTCACCCACGCCTGCGCCCAAGAGCCCCACGCAGCACCGGCCCGGACGACCCAGGGACTCGAGCCCGCCACCCGCCCAGTGCCAGCGCGAATGTGCCCGGGAACTGGGATGACACCCTTCCTCTCTGGCTGTTTCTACCATAACTTGCAAAGATCATGTTTGCAAGAGATGACGTGTCTGCTCTTTGGGCTCGAAAGTTCATTAGCATTAGCAAGAATAACAGCGACACTGTCAGCATCAATTGCAACTTGTTCAGCTTCACCAGGATGTGCGTCACCAAGCCAAACCGCATTTTGTATGGCTTATTCTGCCGAAATGGTGTATGGAGCGATCGTGCACGGGAATCTCACGTTGCGGGGGCAACGCCACCTTCGACGGATATTCTTATTTCCAGGAGGCGGGCCCAAGAGATGTTGACACGGATCCAATCTTTCCGGCGTTGCCTTGCCGTCTGATGGCTTCCGCCAAGAGATGTTGATGTCGATTGTGGCCTGCAGGCAACCAGATTGGTTCCAGGGTTTGTGGGAGTGTATAAGAGTTCCAGGTGCCGTTGCAGCCTGAAGAAAGTTGATGCCACGGATCCGCAAAGAGTCGCACATGGGCTGGTGGTAGCTGTTGGCTTTTGTCTTCTGGGCTGTGGCCTCGGATGAAGTATGTCGGAGCATTGGCATTTCATCCAATGAGGCGCTATGTGGTTCATCTCGCTTCTTGCTGATCCGTTTGGTTGACATCGCCCTGCTTCCGATCGTTGAGTTTCCCTGTGTCAAGCGTTTCTGTTTTCCTGATGCTCCAATCATCTCCAATCTAATCGCTTTAGCTTGGCGTATCAGCCACAAGAGAATGGTGCGGTGCGCTTCGTTTAACTTCCTATCCGGTCCAACCTTTTTTCGGCTCGGCGGCGGATTTCGCAGGCTTGCCTCCAAGTGGCAGGCGGCCTGACAGTCTCCGGCACTCTGGCGGTGGGTCACTGCCACAATTATGCAAAGGATGGCCAGGGCGGCTCCTTGTCCATGCAGGACCGGCTGAACCGAAGTTGACCGCAGACGTTTGTTTGCGCTCCTGGGTGTCAAGGTGTTCCTGAGTACTTCGATGAGCATTGTGTAAGGGTTGCGGCATGATGGCGGCCCGAATTATTTGGGAGTCATCTCAAGGCGGTGGCTACGTTGAGCCCACGTGATTGCAGGTTCAGTTGCTTGTTGGTTTTTGGGTTTTGCATTCTTTCTTGCCAGCCGTGTGGGTGGTGGCGTCTCTTCGGCAGGAGGGGCTTTTGAAGCTGTATATCTTGCGTTATTCTGGTTGCACTTCTGCATGTTTACATGCGCCAGCACATTGTACTGACAGCAGCACATTGTACTGACAGCAGCACATTGTACTGACAGTACAATGTGCTAGCGCATGTACAAATACAGAAGAATGAAGCTTGCCTCATTCTATGTTCTTTCTGCCCGTAACTTGATTTGTGCTTTTGTTCTGAGAGACTGTCAAAGCAGACAGGCCCCCAGGAGCACGCAGTAAGGGGGTTGAGCTTTGGCAAGTCCTGGACCCAACATGGGAACCGACATGTTTCTCGGGGCATTGTTGGAGAAAACAGGACCCCAAGCTGGTGGTTCCCTGACACGCTTGCTCTTGCCTGCATCCTGTGCTCTCTTCGCAAGAGATCACAGCCTTCACAGACATTGGAGAGAAAATTCACGATGCCAAAGAGTGTTGATCATTCAGTACGAAACCCAGACATAGCATCTGACAAACCCAAATTATGTCTCAATTGTCAATCGGAGACACGTGACAGAATATGACATTTCAATTCGTGTGTCTGTGCCAAGTGTCTGACGAAACCAGGGACCAACGTTTGCAGGGGGGCAGTGGACCCCCATTAATCATCCCTGAACCGCCGTTGTTTGCTTTGCCCTGTTAGAGTAACTAGACGGAAGCCACATAGACTCGAAATGACTTGACTGTTTCGTTTTCCACTTCGATGAGATTAGCTGCTTGCTTAGTTCTCGATAATTGAACATGAATGAGACCCAAGGTCTCAACCTAAGCGGGTCGTAAGATGAAAGAGCTCAGGATAGGAGCTTCATATCTATCTTGAAGCCTCTGATCAAGATCATGATGCTTGCTGCTTGGAAGATGAAGATGAGAAGTCCCGAGAGTTACGAGCCAGAGGCTCATACCTTTGCAAAAGACGATAAGATACGAGATATGAATGCAAGATTCAAGAAGAGAAGCAATATTATCTTGCTGAGAATATTTTGTTGAAGATGTTAGTTCTCATCTGACAAGAAGATGCACAGCATATTATGATGATATTTGGATTGACGGTTGGATGAGACATTTATTGTCTCATTCATTCTTCCTTCGAGTTGTGTGCCTTTGTGCAGGCAATGGGAGTTCTGGTTTAAAGTTCAAAGTGATTGGAGTTCCCGCCATTCACCACACGTTAAGGAGCTTGGTCTTGTGAGGGATGTGCAACATCCTGAAACATAGACAAGCGATATTGGTTAAAATGGTTTTAAGAACTCAATGTTGGTGATTTTGGTGTGAATAATGTTTAGGCCTGTGCCTTTGGAACGCACGTCTCCTGTGTCCAAGAGACACACAGTCAATAAGATGAGTTGGAGGTTGGTGATATGAGTATCTCGAGAAGCAAGAATAACATGTTCCCATGGTTTTAGTGCCTGCTTTGTTTGGTTTGGCTGAATATTTTGAGCAACTGCAGGGCTGTGAAAAAAGTGTGTGTGTGTGAGTGTGTGTCCTATCAGTGTTCATCAAGCAATCTTCATGCGCCATCACTGTCCCACCATTGCAGATTGTTCGCTCGCTCGGAAGATCATTGTGGCCGTCGATTACAGCGAGTGGAATGCTACAAAAAGCCACGAACCACATCCAAGGAGAAGAACAGCACAACTATAGAATAAGCAGGAACATGCACTTGGTTGAGGTTCATATTAGCTTTCGCAGCCATGATAATGATTCGTGGACTGCGAAGCAATGTCGCAATCTGAAGTGAGGCCACTTACCCGTGTTGCCTTTCTTATTGACAACTACCAGTATACCAAACATGGGTGCAACTTCTGGAAGACCCTTCCTGCTGGCCATGTTATGACCAAACGAGCATGCAAGCTCCTAGATAAGATGAGCTTTGAATGTGGCTTGGCAAGGAAAAATGCTACGGGGGAGGATTTGAGACTGCTGCCGAAACAGATTGCGAGCCGTCTCCGTTCAACCCATGGAGCTTTGGCCTTGATGGCTTATGGCGGTCACGCAATGATGTACAACGGGAGGTTGTATTTTATTCCCACAGATCATGCAAGTGATTTGCCTGAACCAGGCCAATGGTTCTTGGCTGCCGTGCTGTTGATGTTGCTTCCCAGTGCTTGTATGGCCTTTGGCTGGCATGGGCTGTTGAATCTGACGAACGAGGTGGGCATTGTTTTGATGATTGGATCGCTTGGTTGGATTGCCTTGGCACGCTGGTTCTTGAATATGACATGGAGCATTTTGACCTCACATCCGCTTTCCAATGCCGTTTGCCTTGATCAAATAAAGGCTGAGCTGGCCAACATGCATGAAACGCACGGTGCCTCTCATGCCATTCTTCTTTGGTTGTTGGATTGCTGCCGCGATTTCGGACATTTGTCTTTGTGGCATCGTTTTCTGCTGCGCTTTGCGCCCGACAAGCCAGTGGCAATCAGGATATCCCACAAGAACAGCCGACCAAACTTCTTCAAAGTCTTTGCTTGTGAGGAGGGGCGTGCTGCCATTGGATGGCCGCACGGGTTCCTGACAGAAGCTTTTGTGGCTGCCCTCGGCAATCTAAGATGTGGTGGCACGCTGGATGAGCTTCTTACACTACTGGATGAGAACATTCGAACTTTGTGCAGTCCTGGTTTGCAGAAGGTTTGCATATATAGCACCTCATACCGGCTTGCAAAGCAAATTGTTTTCTGGGATCAACATGCGGATGCAGCATTTGATGTTGGGCCAACCTTATTGACAATGAGGAAAGGCCACCTTTCGACCTTGAAGCCTCCAGAGTGGCAATTGTTTCACAAACATCGCTGTGGCAGTCCCAAAGAACGCAAGCAGATCCTGGCATTGCCTTCTTTGTCGGATGACCTTCGTGCGATGTTGCTGTTGCGAATCTTGGCAGAGAAGAGATCAGGACGAGGCTTGCTGAGGGAAAGCTTGAACCACGCAAGGTTTTGTCCCGTAATCATCAACCCTCCTCTCAAGTGTTTGTAGTTGTAGTTCATAGCATCAAACACCTATGATCTTGGTGTGTTTGTTTGTATGATATGATAAGCGTGGAGTTTGAACCTTAGTCGCACCAGCCTTTCCAGAGTTGACTTCGCTTGACTACAAACTGTTATGGACTGAGGGCGCCAACCGTCCCGCAAGTCTTGTCTTTGCTCGTACTGGTCCTCCCAATTTGTCTTTGATAGTTTGGAGCCATAGCTAACTTTATGTACATGTTGTTTTCGTGCCCCTTACCGGCGCAGGGTCTCGGAGCTTCCTGAGCACGACAGACAGCTGCAAAGCAATTAGGCGGCAAGGCTTGCGGCCCTGCAATGTCAAATTGCTTGTGTGCCAGCTGAACCTGATGCAGGCCAAGTTCTTATGTGACAAAAGCATCGCTGTCTTGGGCCGTGCCATCATGGCAACACCTGGGATGAACGAAAACTGCATGGAATCTGTCGATCGCAAAATGGGGCGCGTAGAACAGTTGTTGGCCAGAGTGATTTGCACACTTGACCAACATGCCACAAACGCCTATTTGCGTGGCAAGGTGGAAGAAGTCATTGCTGGAAGTATAGTGGTTGAGATTTTCAAGCAACTGCGGACTTTCAGAAGCTCATGCCGAAGCTCATGGCCCTCCCTCGGAGATCTTTGCAGCCAGGCCAATGAGTGTTCGGGCCACTTCCGACGCGCACTGCATGCTTACGCAGAGGGATCTCTCGCAGAGGATGCTTCGCGGCTGGTTGTCATTTGGCGGCTTTCGACAGTGTTTGCTGCTCTATGTGCCAGGGACTTCCCTTGCCTCAGGGAACAAGCAGATAATTTCAATATGGCGCTAGCTGCTTTCAAAGTGTATTCGCCGAGCTTCGACAGGCACTGGGTAATCCAGAGGACACTTGCTGTCGTGAATCTTGGAATTCAGGTTGTTCACCCTGCTTCAGCGCTGATTTGCAAGATCGCTCCTTCAGCATTGAGGACTGGAGGCTTAGGATTTTTTGGTTCAACGTTTGGTGCGAGGGGCAGCCGCAAGTGATTGGTTAAGTTTGACACTGTGCGTCGTTCGAGCAATTTCGTGCATTGTGAAATCAGCAGGAAGCTATAGGCCTGTTGACATTGTGTTGAAGCACGAAATTGTTTGGCTGTCCCCTAGTTGCCCAGCATGGATTTACCACAGTTATGGCGTAAAACACTCGGAATGAAATAAAGTCGTGATAGAATGCTCTCTCGCTCTCTCTCTCTGACGGCGTTCGGACAGTCTGTTCCAAGCCGAGCTTGGGGACATAGCCCCGCCTGTAAAAACAGTCAGCTGGACTGACCAACTGCGGCAAGCAAACGTTGGTGCGGGAGACAACAAAGTGAAAGGCCCGCTTTCCGCAAGCACACCACAATCAAACAAGGAAAACAGCGGTGCCCCCACTCCATCTCGCTGGTCTACTTCAAAGCGTCCAGCATCTCTTGCAACTGTCGGTCCAGAGTCGGTCCAGAGTCGGTCCAGACCCCCTTCAGGGGCTTGACCGTGCTTTCGCTTTGCCCCGCTGAGGATCAAGGCTTTCTCCAATCGCACACAGCCGACAAATCCTCTCGGCATGCTGTCCGCTTGATGCAATTTTGACTGTCCGCTTGTCCCAAGCCTTGCGAAGCCTCACCACGTGTATCTGAGACGCCAGAGCGTTGGGGTCTGTACCAGGCTTCGTGATGTTCTCAAAGTGATCCTTGAGCACACCAGCCTCTTCCGGCTTCAGAGCACATTGCGACGCGGCCTTCACCGCTGCAGCCTACACATGGATATGCACAGGGCCCAACTCCTCCATCTGCTTCTCGTTACCCTTTGACTGAGTGCGAATCACCGCGGCCTGCAGCTCGCGAATCTCCAAGGCATTCTTAAAACAAGGTTTGGGCACCAACTCCACCATCTTCGCCATTTCCGACTCTGCCGCGCCATCCTCATCGCTTGGCTGGCCTTCCGACTTCTTGTGCGCGCTGGAACCACGACATTGGAACTAGGGAATGCGAGCTATGCAGTAGGTCTCCCAGGCAAATGCTGCGTGATGCAATGCAACACTCCGTCAAGAGAAGGATGCTCCAAATTGCAGAAGAGGCACACCAATTGATGCGGGGCAGAGACATGGAAGCAAGTAACACTCCCCTCACCGGTGCATCTTTGAGAAAGCAACGTGTTCCGAATATGTTTCTGGGTGACACATACACTGGCAAATATATGACGGCACCAAGGTCATTGATTGCAAATTGCTGCCCGCACGTGTGGGTGAATCCTACCATGCGTTCGCAGGGATATCTAGCATCACTGTTCCCCTCAGTCTACCCGTGTTTAGTGGAGAGCAACCCAGTATGAAAGCCAGTAGGGGGAATGCAAACAGATAAGTAAGCAGTCCGCAATGCACCGCAATCCACAGCCAAGAAACTAGATTTGTATAATATAAACACCAAGAAAAAATGTCACCAATGCCATACAACCGCTCTGCTGCAGAATCCAACTGCAATAGTCGTCGCATGTCCTGTGCAAACTGCTTGACCCATGACAAATTGCTGAATGAACCATTCTCACGAACAGTGCGTTCCAAATCAAAAGACATCCGTCCAAAAATCGCCGCGAGAACTGTTTTGTGCAACTGTGGCTGCTTTGCGACTCCTTGCCAGTACCGCAGCCGGCACCAGGCGCACCAGCTTAAAAACATCACTGTCGGGCAGCGCCCTATATTCGATTTGCCTATCGTTGGAATCCTTACGACAAGCATCCCCACGAAGTATCTTTTTTGCAAAACGCAGCACCACTGAATCCAACTCCTTGTAATCTTGTTCTGATAAGACGCATGCTTCTAGGCCAGAAATTGCAACTCCTCTGACCATAGTATTAAACACCAAGCACTTGGGTCGCAAAGGAAGAGGCTTTGCCCACAATCTACCTATGAAGTAGAAACCGTTCTGCGCAGCCTTTTTCCGAGCTGAAATTTCAATGTTGTTGAGCCCCTTGAAGTGCCGGCGCCCGCCCAAATACCTCGCCGCCGTGTTCCTATTAGCGCCTGATCCCGCGAAAAAAAGAGATGTTCTTGTTTGTTTACATCTTGCTGCGCATCGATCTTCTCAAGCTCTCTGTCTAAAACATTGTTGGAGGTTGTGATCTCTGCGAACAAGGTTTCGCTGTCCGCCCCGAGAACGTAATGTGTGTGCCATATCGTCAGCGTAGCTAATTGAAATATTTAACGATATCCTTAGTGACAGGATCTGGCACCAGCATCTCAGTCTATTTTGTTGCTCGCCTCCATTTGTCTAACGTAGGGTGGTAAACCTCTAAAAAATTGCGAGCACATAACGTTGTTTCCTTGAAGCCCTCTAGACCCTGTCTGCAAACAGCACATTCTATCTCTGGCCGGGATGTATATGCTGCTATAGTAAGATTTTGTCCTCTTGCCTCGCTACCTGGTTTGTGGCTGTCTCCAAAATTTGTCTGGTTTGATTAGGAAATGCATTGGCAATATTATATAATGATAAAGCATACGAAAATTTGCTGCACCGAAGCTTGTGTTATAATACCTACTGCTGCAACATGGGGGTGTATGTGCGATTTGCTAGCGATAGCCAGACGCGTAAGTCTTTGTATTTTTGTGTTTTATAGTGTATATTGGGGTATTGAAAAAAATTGAGGATTTGATGTTATTTAATTAAATATAAAAATATATATAAAAGATGTTTAAAATGTTATTATAAATAAATGATTATTTGATATATTAATTAAATATTAAATGAATTTTAATGAATAATTGGTTGATTTTTTAAAATATTTAATTTTTAAAAAAATAAGATTTGAACCCTTTTGGGGGTGTTGATATGTTTATTTAAAATATAGAAACAATTATTTAAATTTATATTGGTAAGATATTTTTTATTATTTAATTACTAATATATATATTATATTATTGGTTATGGCTCGTAATTTCTCATGATTTTAAATAAAATGATTATGGACAAACCGATGTATACCTCCCGACTCTTTATTTGGAAGATATAATGGCCCCGGTCCATTTGTTCGAATATTTCGAGAAATAAATAAAAAATGAAGCCATTGCATCTTCCGAATTATGGCTAGGGTAGCCCGGACAGATTTAGGTAAACATTCTATAAGAAATATGAAGCGATTACACCTATTAAGGGTAGCCCGAACCAATTTTCCAAAATAGCCGGTTTTTTCGGAAAAATGGTCTGGGAAAACGTGCGTGTACGATAAGCAAATTTCACGATTTCATGTTATGCAAATCATATATATAAAATATAATATTTAATATTCTATTTAAATATAATAACATAATAATATAATTCAAATAATAGGGGACCCGTTACTTTCCAGCAGCGTGCAACATGAAGCCCGTGACAGGAGAATAATAGAATCAGAGCATAAAATAAAAAAAAAACACATATTCCAATTTAATAATTATAGATAAATATATATGATTTTTTTTTTTTTTTCATAGAGATAAAAATTGGTAATCCGAGTAAATGTTTTACAAGGCGGTTTCGGAACATTTCCAGAAAAATAAATGATTGTGATTTTGAGCCTTTGCCTTAGATCCTGCCCAAACAAAATAGTTCGAAATATTATACATTGTACTACATTAAAAACCAAATTTTAAAGACCCAAATATCTAAAAACAAATTATGAATAGAATTTCTCAGCACCTTAATATCTTTTCTAAAACATTACGATACACAAAACAACAATGTGTCTCAGGTATCCGATGCTAACATGTAGACATTTAGTCAGTGCAAATCGAACACCTAAACAAGGAGAGAAGAGAACCATAGATTATAAACCTTAAAGATCCATCCCCATATATAATTATTATAACGCACACGAAAACATCCTCGACCAAAAAACATCCTAAATACAAACAAAACCGAACTGATTTCGTTCAAAACGATAAAAAAATCGTCATTTAATTATAATATAATAATCGGTTCTCACATCACTAAACTCTCGCAAATCGAGCACAATATTAAATAGCTATTTTTCTATCCTCCCAACAAATATCCTTCATAGATATATTCGTTCCATAATAAACCATGCCAATGTGATTTCGATTAATTTAAGGCATTAAAAATTCGAATCTCTTAAATTAAGCCGAAATTAACCAGCTTCATCGTCTCATTAACCTAAATCTTGTTACTTAAATACCCTTTCATAACATCCTTTTTTAAAGCTAAACCAAAAAAATCCTTATTAAAAAATAATATATTTAGGTATACATAATACCTAAAAAAAATGTTAATAATAAATATAAATTAAATTGTTTTAAATTTAAATAATTTAACAATAAAAATTAATAAAGCCTAAAAATACTTTAATCATTATTTCGATCCGATTTATTTAAAACAAACTATAAAATATAAAAATATATTCAAAACAATATATTTTAAAATTGGAATTAAAATCGAAATCCTAAATTTTCATAAATTCATAATAACTAATCTATTTAACATCAATTAAATTTCATAAATTCATAAAACACAACCTATACAATATCAAGTTCAATCAAATAAACAAATACACAAATAAAAAACAAAAACAAAACAAAACACAAAGAAAAATAAAATAGAAAAAAAACAAAAAAAAAGACAAAACAAACACAAAGACAAATATAAACACACAAACACACAAACACACAAACACACAAACACACAAACACACAAACACACAAACACACAGACACAAACAAACACAAACAGACACAAACACAGACAGACACAAACACAGACACAAACACAAACACACAACACAGACACACAGACAAACACAGACACAGACAGACACAGACAGACACAAACAGACACAGACAGACACAGACAAACAGACAGACACAGACAGACACAAACAGACAGACAGACACAGACACAGACACAGACACAGACACAGACACAGACACACACAAACACACAACACAGACACACAGACACAGACAAACACAGACACAGACAGACACAGACAGACACAAACAGACACAGACAGACACAGACAAACAGACAGACACAGACAGACACAAAC